TACTACCGGTTCTGTGGGCGTGGCTTGGTGTGTGTGTGGGGTAATATGACTGAGTGGGTGTGGCCAACTTTTTTTTTTTACTTTTAAAATCATTTTTACTACAACCTCTTTGGCTGAAGAGGTTTTAAAGCCTCAGACGATCCCAGCTGACTTGCCTGATTGGCAGAAACGTTTTTTTTAAAAAAAGCCTCTGACGATCCCAGTTGACTTGCCTGATCGGCAGAGGCTTTCTTTCTTTTTTTTTAAAAGCCTCTGACGATCCCAGCTGACTTGCCTGATCTGCAGAGGCTTTTTTTCCTTTTAAAAACATTTTTTCTATAACCTCTTCGGAGGTTGTAGAAAAAATGCTTTTAAAAGCCTCTGATAATCCCAGCTGAGCTGCGCAATCATCAGAAGCTTATTTTTTTTTACTTTTAAAAGCATTTTTTCGGCCAAAAAGGTTGTAGAAAAAATGCTTTTAAAAATAAAAAAAAGCCTCTGATGATTGCACGGCTCAGCTGGGCAATGGGGGGGGGGCAGGGATTTTTGCTACCGGTTCTCCGAACCACCCGCCTCCATCGCTACCGGATTGGGCGATCCGGTCCGAACCGGGAGCATTTCACCCCTGGATAGCTCTATTCATAAGCAAATAACCTCACCCAAGAGCCAAAACAGGACAAAAGTCATTAAGCCACAATAGGAATTGCCCAACACCCTTTCAGAACACAAACTTTCATTGCATCACCCTCAGAGCAGCCCAAAATTCAACCAAGTTTAGCTCAGACAAACACCTAGGATTTGTACTTTGCCTATAGAGCCAGCTATGACCCCTATATAACCCCTACATGGCCCCATAGGAATCTGACAACAGCCAATAGAATACAAGTTCTTGCACAGGAACAGGAAGCTCACATACAAAGCCCAGAGAAGGTATAAACCCCACTCTCAACTCCATGTAGTCCTCTGAACCAGAACCTTAAACACTGGTGGTTCTGTTCATCATTAAACCATCTTTTCAGTCAGCCTCCATGTTTCCAGTGTCTTTCTCCCAGTTTAGAACTGAACCAGATGGATATTTCTTCCTACATCATTGTGTGTTGCAATTATAGTAGTCTCAGAAACTCCCTACAGGCTTACAGGGAGTATGACTAAAGCTATTTTACATCTGTTTAAAATATGCCAAACAAGTAACAAAAGGGATTAATATATTTACTTCAGAAAAATTATTTTAGTGGCAAATTAAGTTGTTACTCTTGGGTATGTCTGTTATGCTTTCTCCTGCAAATCTTTGTGCATTTTTTGAGTTGCATAATAGATTCTGTTAAGAGAAATTAATATAACATTGCTTTTGTCAAATACTTATAGGTGGAACCAGCACTTCTAGTATCTTAGCATCTCCCCACACTTTTCTCAAATGTCACAAAATTCTTCCCACAGGAATGTACCTTGAAAATGTTTTCCAAAATTAAGCTTTTTTCCTACTTGATTGCTGCAATTTCTGGGTTCTTATTATGTATCTATTATGTATGTATTATGTATGTATGTAGTTATGGATTTCTATGATCCCTTTCAGCTAAAAGTCTATGCCATCTCCAAACTAATTTCAATGAGCACAAATGTAATGTCTCACTTGTACAGTGACCATGCTTTCTTTGAAAAAATAAAGGACAAACCTGAAAAAAAGACAAATCTGAAGGAGATTCATAAGGATTTTTATATGTTATCAATGTTGCCATGCTGGAAAAATAATCCAAAACTCCCATCAGAGGGCAATATTTAAGGAAAGTGTTCACCCAATCTGACTTGGTAGGACAGGTAGATGTCCTTAGGGAAAAGCAGTCTCACAGATAACCTAGACCAGGGGTGTCAAACTGGCATGTGATACACAATGTGACGCTGTGAGTTTGGCACCTGTGACCTAGATCTGTGTCATATGAGCCTTTAAAGGTGATGACCAGAACCTTGAATTGCACCTGGAAATAAAATGAAAGCCAGGCTAGCTCACATTGGCTTTTGTTACAAGGACAAACCTAGGAGCACCCATTACTGTGTGCTGTATTCTGGATTAGTTGAAGTTTTCTTGTGGTCTTCAAGGGCAAATGCAATCAAGCAGCTTCAGTTACTGGAAGATGGTGTGGCTGGTCTCAGTTAAAAACTAAGCTAGCATGGTGCTGCTAGATATTGCTTACCTGATACAGGAGGATCTAGCACTGTTAATTCATGCTCTCATCATCATGCACGTAGACTACTGCAGTGCCTTTTATACTGGGCTGTTTTTAAAATGTTCAGGGAAATTACAATAAGCCTAGAATGTGGCAATCAGTAGGGAGTATATTACACCTCTATTGTGGCGGTGGCATGGTTACCATACACAATTGAAAGTGCTTGTGTTAACCTATAAAACCCCTCTTGACTTGGTGCCTGGGTATCTACAGATCTGCCTCCTCCCAAATTTCTGGGATGCCAGGGGAATTGAAGCCAGAAGGTCCTGCTTCTCTATAGCAGAGCCAATACTATCAAATGGATTTTACACTGAGATTAGATTGGCCCCTTCCTGGTAACTTTTGGAAGTTACTGAAAACAGAACTTTTTTAAAATAAATTTTTGGTAACATCATCAATACTTCTTGTACTTATTTCTCTTTCCTATTTTCATTTTATTTTACAATTTGGATTACATTGCAATTGCTAAGAGCAACTGCAGCAGGGGAAAAAAATCAAATAAGTAAAGTGCGACAATAAAGGTTAGGTCTAGTGATTATAACTGTACATAAAAAGATTTATATGAGTAAATGAGACTTTTACAACTAAATTATTAGTAATTACCATGTATAGTTGAAAGCCTTTTACTTCACTGTATAGAACAAGAAGAGGAGGACATAAGATTAGTTTTTGATTTTTCTAGTTCAGACCTCTTTCAATAATCCATGGCCTGCATTTTAGAAAGTTCCATACATCAGCTCCCATTGTTGTTGAGAACAAGTTATTTTAATTATATAAACCAGAAATAAAAATTCAACCCCCTTCTTTCTTTCACATTTTCCCTACTGGGGAAAAATAGACATCAAGTGTTTGTAAAGTTCTTCAAACTGTCTGACTCATAGCCACAGATGTATTCCTTAAGGAAGTAGCACATGCGATAAAGTTTAATTATCTTTTCACAAAGCATTATGTGGCTGAGTAAGTAAATACTCAGGTTTCCAATTTTTTTCCTCTGAGCAAATATCCATTGTTATTTCATAGTCCAAGAGTGCAAATCCTGAGTGAATATGCGGCTTGGCACTTCTTATTTTCAATAATGTTTTTTCCAAAAAAGTGATATACATATGAAATCATGGCTGTTGGTACGAATTGTAGGTATTTCTGTCGGTGGTACCATCTACTGTGGCACCTTGGTAATTAGCCAAAGTGAGGATAATAATATAGCCCAGACTTTTTTATTATTTATGAATTTACTGACAGTATTTCTTTGAGGGTGGCAATGATTTAGTTGTTATGACAACATCTTAGTGGCTATAGAATAATTACGAGTTGAAAACATATTTGTTTGATGACATGGAGCATTGGAGTAAACAGGAGCCAAATGGATGGCTTGCTGAGGTTCTGATGGAATCCAAGTCTTTCTTGCCCCCAGTGGTTTCTGATCCATGACTTGTCATCAGAGAAACTTTGCTTAACAAAAAGAAATTATATCAGAAGGCAATGGAGGGACTCAACACCTCAAAGTCCTCATTTTGGCCATATCAGCCAGCAATCTGCTTTTTTTAAGCTTCTAGAAGGATTAGTGTCCATAAAAGACAAGTGTGTGTTTGTATGTGTATGTATGTATACATGTATATGTGTGTTTGTATGTGTGTGTATTTACACGTAGTTCTTAACTTGAGAACCATTCATTTAGCAATAGTTCAAAGTTACAAGGGCCCTGAAGAAAGTGACTTTACAACAAGTCCTCGTACTTACAACCATTGCAGCATCCCCACAGTCACGTGATTAAAATTTGGTTGCTTGGCAACTGGCATGTATTTACAATGGTAGCAGCATCCCTGGGCCATTTGCAACCTTCCCAACCAGCTTCCAACAAGCAAAACCAATGGAGGAAGTTTAATTGCATAATGGCCACATGATTCACTTAACAATTGCAATAATTTCCTTAACAACTGTGGTAAAAAGACATAATAAGATTGGGCATGACTCATTTAACAACTGCCTTGCTTAGCAATGGAAATTCTGGTCTCAACTGTGGTTGTAAGTCGAGGACTTGTGCGTGTGAGTGTGTATGTGTGTCGTGTATGTGTGTTTATGCATTTCCTAAACAGGAATAGAATTTAACTGAAAATGACAAGCTTTGGGACTTGAGTTTCCTGAACCAGCAGAAGTGAGGCAGCCCTGCATAAAATGTTCAGCCCCCGGAGAGGAAAAGGTTGTCACTTTAGTCTTGGGAGATTCCCTCTGGCGAACATACCGACAGTATTGGTGAGGTCCAGAGGGAGCCGTGTTTAGTTCTCTTAGGGCCCAATTTGGCAAACACTTATACACTTGGCTAACTTGAAGGGAGTCTTTTGCATGAGCAATCTTACTCAAGTGTGTAAGTGTTTGCGGGACACAATGAGTCAAATGGATGGGTATTGAGGTCAGTAAACATTGTCAAATCACCCCCATCACAATATCGCATTCAAGCAAACTGCCTTGCTTATGGTGACTTACTGTAAGACCATTAAAAATGCATCGAACAGGATTATTTTGAATAGTTATGGGGGCTTGGGGGTATTTTTCATTTAAAAGAGATTGGGAGATAAAAACAATCTCTTAGATCTAAGCACTGAAAATAACAACCAAGGACAGTCAAAGGTCATAGGTAGCAATGTTTCATTTGTGATTAATAGGCATTATTCTGAAAACTTAAAATAATGTTTAGACAGAACTTGCAGGGTTTTTAGAAAGATCTGATTCTAAAAGAAGACAATTTTCCGCATAAGGAGGCTGAGCTTTTTTTTACACTGCTTGTATTTTTTTTTTTTTTATTGCCATGGCAATTCAGTCTTGAATTCTTTGGGCATTAGAAAAATATTTGTATTTGTTTTTCTCAGCAACAAAGTCCCTCAGAATGTGTTTGTCTTTTATTCACATTTCTTCATAGACGAGATAATTTTATACTGTTCTTAGGATGGATTTGACTTTCTGGTGGTGGAGATTTTTCTGTTCACATTGCTCCAGAATACACAGGTTTATGACTTGTTATGTGATCTCTGTGAGGGAAAAAGACTCAAAACATATGGATGATCAGATGTTAAGCTTGGGGGAAATCAAAAATTAAACTGTCTCAGAGCTGTTAAGAGTCTCCTTTGCTATATATTTTATGTGATGTGTGTATTGTATGGGTGTAGAGGGAGATGCCATCTTGGGAAAAAAACTCTGAGGAAAAGAAATTGCTCTGAAAAATGAACTGTTTATACAGTTGCTTTAAAGTCTGGTCAGCTAAAAGCAGATGTTACAAATTAAGATGGAAACTTGCCTGAAGCCAAAAGGATTGGAGAGCATACTTTTTAATCATTAAAAAAGTGGGTCTACTTTTGAAAACTGTGATGGATGAAATCTAGGAAGTTTTAACAGTTTAAAATCCAAGTGACTTCAGCAGAAACTCTGTGGTTGAAATAGTACTGGAGTTTTAGACTGCTTAAATCAGGTTGTTTTTAATTTTTTTATTAGGCTTATCATCATATAAAATACAAATGAAAATAAAGAGGGTAGGGGAACATGAAAGGGAAAGAGAAGCGTAGGGTGAAGGTGGAAAAAAAAGGCATTGACTTCCAACTTTTTTCTGCGCAGTAAAATAAAAAATAAAATTTCAGCCTTTTACTTTATCAATTTAACAAATACTAGCCATTTGTAGATTATAACAGGTTAAAATCATGTGAGAAATTTAGTATCATTTCTGCTACTTTTTCCTCACACCCAGATAAAATTGCCAGACTGTAGAGCTGGAGTTGTGATTGAATCAACAACATTGCTCCCTATCTTTAAATCTAACCATCTTCAATCCTATATTTAGGAATCTAGGAAGGAGGGTTGGCTCCCTGAGCCACAATTTTAAAGGTTTTTTCCTCAGATAACTGTTTTTCCCAGTTATTTTCCCTCACACTGAGATATATTAAGCTTGCTTGTTTGGTTTTTCTTCAGATACTTTGAGGTCTCTGATATTTTCTGTTTAGTTTTTAGTGGTCACATTTTGGGGTACCTTCCTAAATCAGCTCCTTCCTTCTCCCTCCCTGAAATAAAACAGGCCATGTTGACTGTTAATTCTACTCTTGATAATATATCACACTGTGGCTTGCCTTGCCCTTTGGCATCTACCACCATGAACACATGAAACTAGAAAGCAAATATGTATGACACTGGGGCATGTTAGTGTTTCCCAACATGGGCCTAGAAAGTGTGGATTTCAACTCCCTGAATTTTCCAGCCAAGATAGCCCTTGCTGAAAATTCTGGAAGTTGGCCATATTGGGAAATCAGGTATCAGGCTAGAATCCAGTTTCATGGGTTCCAATGTAAATGGTTCTTCTAAAGAGATTTGGTTGTTCCCTGAGTAACTGGAAAGTTCCATAAAAATAGCTCATGGAGTCAGTGTTATGTTTCACTGCCACATATGAAATATAATGTAATCTAAAATTTAGGGGAAGATCATTGTTCATGCAATGATAACTTTCCATCCAGAGTGGCTGGGAAATTCTGAGAGCTGAAGTCCACATGTCTTAAAATTGCCAAGGTTGAGAAACAGTGATCTAGACTATCGCAATTCTCTTTGTGTAGAACTGCTCTGAAGGACATTTTGAAAACTGGAGACAGAAGGCCAGAATGTTATTCCTAAACTGCTCCCAGAATATTAAACCTAGAGCCACTGAGAGCCCCTTCAACAGTGAGATGAGCAGCATATAAATTTAATAAAGAAATAATTATGAGACCTCTGATTTATAGAAATTAAACTGGCTGCAAATAGATTCCTGGTCAGAGATCAGGTTTCTGTATTAATAATTACATTCAGCTCTGAACCAGTTTGAGGCCTAAACATTTGATGTATATTTCTCTAAATACTTCTAGCCAAATATTATATTCCACCAAAATGAGGGAGGGGACTCACTGCTGATAACAGTGCATTAGGAGTGGGGTTGCATGTCACATAATGGAAAGCTAAAATGGAGCAGTTATAAGCTATTTTTAAAAATATTTTCCACATGCTGCAATTCAGTTTTTAATTATGTCTTTCTTCATTTATTCAGTGCCACATTAGAGATACTTGAAATGAGATACCTGAAAAAACTACACTTCCCAGAATTCCTCTGCAAAGCTTCCTTTATCATGAATGTGTTCCTTTCCTTTCCTTTCCTTTCCTTTGAAAAACAGAAAAGTTGAGAACTACTGATTTGAGATACTATTACTTTGCTTACATGCAAATGCTTAAATGGTTGGTTCATTTGGTTTTAAATGCCAGTAGAGAATCTGAAAACAACTTGAGGTGGCATTAAATTTATCTCTTCCCAAATGAGTGGGAGGGAACTGTAGTCTCCAAAATTATGTAGCTCATCAAATCAGCTGTCTGAGACATTAGTGGACAAAATTGTCTACACTTTTTGTTGAAGAGAAGTTCTCTCAAGATGGGCTCTAACGTGAGTCCAAAAGCTCAGAAAACTAAATCTCTAGTCCCAGTGATCAACCCAAATTAGATCCTGCAACATTATCCTGGGACACATATATTTGCTTTTATTCCTGAAATTTGGACTGTTTTATTTGGAATTAAAGTGATCTCTTATCAAGAACAAGGATTACCTCTTTAAATTTAACCAAAGGCCTCCCAGTTTTTCTAAAAAGGAAATGAATCCTGATTTACTGTGCTTAGTTAAATCATTAGGGTAAATATTTTAAATGATACTTGTTTTAATAGTAGATTATAACATTTATATTTTTGGTGAATATGTCTATATGGTGCAGACAGAGTATTTTAAATTAAAATATAACCAGATTAAAATAACCTCAGCAATGAAGCTCTTTATTATCACCCACTAGCCTAAACCTCCTCACAAAGTGGCTATGAGAATAAAATGGTGGGTAAAGACTATGAGCATAAACTGACATGAAATACATAAATATTGTTTATTGCATGTTTTTACAGCTAACTGAAAATCAGATTTCAACAATGACAGAACCTGCCTTTTCTTTAGATAACTTATTTTTTGAAGGACCAGGCACAAAGCAAATGTAAGTTGGCTCAGTGATGAAAAATATTGATAATTTAAAATATGGTGTCAATGTTGGCAGCTGAGTAATGCAGTATTGGCTGAATACAGAGCCAGTCATGTATCTTTCTGAACAATGAAATACCAATCTCCATTACATTAATTGAACATCTCTGTTTAAAAATTGTTCTTTTAGAAATAATTTAAAGCTGTTGCTATCATCCTTTAGATTCTATAGGCTATACTGATATAGCTTTGAACATTTATTCCACAATAAATAATTTGTTCTATGTTATACTTAATACTTTTTGGAGTGTCAATTAACTTACAAATTCGTTCTGCATCTAAATTGTTTTCCACATATAATATAGGTTAGTTGTACAAGCAGAAAACCCGTGGGCTTTGGAATTATGGCTGCCCACAATTGGCCACCACATAGCAAATTCATAATTAACTGAAGTGGGTTAACATTAACAGAAACCTTAAATGTTAAACATAACACTTTTTACTCAAGTGTAATATAAAAAAGTAAATTTAGAAGTCAATATGTTTGGTTGTTTCTTAGCAATTTGGATGGAACATCTTAAAGGATTTTTTTGTGTATGCATATTTTGAAAGGTATCTAGAAAATGAAGAGCCAACAAACTGGGATCTTGCACCTGTTCCATCTGTTTTTGAAATTCCACCCACTCAGGAGCTACAAATGGATTTTGCAAAACTTAACCCAAAAGGTATAATCTGTGACTAGGATTAATATGACAACTCATAAAAGTTAAAATAGAAAATAAAATTTAGTATTTTTGTTTTAGGGAGCTTGCCTTGATAACCACAGGAAATTAAATCAGGGCAAATATAGATAATATACAATGATGCTTCTGTAACTCGATTTAATAATCCTATTTGCTACTTATTCCAGGAGAAAACTTGCTATTGGCATCAATGGTAATACTTTTCCTTAAACAAAACAGCCTCTGAGCTGCAGCACAAAGTTGTAACTGCTCTAGGAAGCCCCAGCCCAGAATGCCATATGAAGTCGCAGCTGACCCAGCAGTATGGTGCAAGCTGCAGCTGCCCCAGGAAGCTCTAGTTGCACCAACTTGGCAATGCCATGTGAATCCATAGCTATCCCCAAACGCTGGAATTACCCTACCCTGGCCGAGCAATGCAGTGCAAAGCCCTACTGCCTCAGCCCAGTCCCGTTTGCCCTCAGTGCCCTGCTGTCTGAGGCCCTTCCCAGGCCACCCTCCACTCTCTCTCCCCAGCCACTTTCTTCATCTTCTTGCTCTTGCTACTGACTAAGCACACCCTGCTTGGCCCTTTGTTGGGTAGCTGATGGTCACATGCAAGCCTATTATTATCATTCTTGTGGCAATTTATAAATTTAATTGAATAAAATAAATATTTTTAAATTATACTATGTGATATGTGCTTTGGGGTGGAAATCAGATCAAAAATGGTTCATTTTGAACAGAAGGTTCACATGTGCTTCAATGTACAAATTTCTTCTGAAGTGTCAGTCTATAAAAAGAGGAAGAATCCCTTTCTTTTAGATTTTCTTAATTTTACTGGGGTGTTCTGAATTTATATTTTAAATTGAAATCAAGTTTGAATTTATAATTTGCTATATATATTTTGCAAGATTATGCATGACAGATACATATAAGATATAAAAATGTGTTATCCATGTAAATTTTTTAAAAAATGAATACAATATAATCATTATTGAACTGACAGATTAATGATAAGCATGATATTGTGTATTTTTAGAAGACTTTTTACAAAGAGAATTATAGTAAGTACAGGCTAAAATTGGGGCAGGAATATAACATTTTGGGGGCAATAGCTTGGAATCGGATCCATTGTTCTCTATGTCTTGATTAGAACATAAGCAAAACTTGTCTTATAGAGTCCTTTGGAAAAGAAATATTAATTAATTTTCCAGAAGAAGATGATAATGAAAGTGTTTACTCAACATTCAGGAAAAGGTATGATTCTATGCCAATTTTAATAGTTATCAGAACTATATTACTATTCTTTTGAATGTAAAATATCTGGGAACAATTTTTTAGTATAGTGGTTGGATTTGCCTTAGGCAAAACACCTTTTATAAGAGTTTAAACCATTGGTGAAATCAAGCAGGTTCTGACAGGTTCTGGAGAACCGGTAGTGGAAATTGTCCTTTTTCAGGAATTCGTTCTGAAAGTCTATGTAACTTTAAGATAGGTAGAGTTCATTTTAACGTGAACTTGATGAATCATGATTCTCAGTTCAAAGAGGAATACATATTTTTTAATGTATAGCAAAAATTGAGTTTTTCCTTCATTAAGTATCCAGATATAAACAATGTAATGAAATGAAAACAAGAAAGGAGTAAGTTAGAATGAAATATTTTGTTACCTTCTGTTTTCTTCTTCAGTTCTTTGAAAACTTTGAAATGCTGCTTCTTGCAATATCCAAGTTATATAATTTTTCAGAAGCTCAGTAGAAATGGATGTTATGGTGGGCTGAAAAAGCAGATATATGAGAGATGATCTGAGTAATACCTCTCAACAAGAGAGCATACAATAGTTACATGTACTGCTAATGGACCAGTCAGCTGAGTTATCAAAGTTATATAAGTTGTTTATAAAGTTTTAAAATTAATTATTAGAAACAATGCAACAGAGCAAATATATATAATTGTCATATAAAAAGATGTGTGTGTTTATGTATATTATAAAAAAATCCTTTGCATTCCTTACAGCTTATTTAAACCAGCTTCTTATACATATGCAAATAATGCCAGTGCAAAGATAGAAATGGATACATATTGCAATATTATTAACAACAAAGAGATGAAAAAAGACTTATGGAAAAATAATATGCAGATAGCCAAAAATTCAGATTTTAATTGTCTTTCTATAAATAATACTTTTTCTGCTTCTGCAAATACAAAAGAAATTAAAAAAGCACCATCATTTCCATGTATTTCAGAGATCTCTAGTACGGAAGGTAAATTATATTTTTTTTTCTACACTTTTTCCTGCAAAAGGTACTTAAATTACAGTTCTCATGAATAATGTATGTTCATGAACAGAATCAGATTCAGAAATACAGGTTAATCTATTAAAATTATGTAAAATAAAAGTTAGAGTTAGGGCTACACTACTTATGTAGAAAGTGAGTTGGATAAATTAGGTAAATTAGATAAACACAAATTAGGAAAAAAATGAATCACAAAAAAGTATACATAAGCTAGATAACACTGAAGTCATTATAATGCCAGTCACATAGAGTTGAATATTCCTCTATTTTAAGACCAAATGGACAAATTGATGATGATTATTTGTACCTTCACATATTCTTTTCTCTTTTGCTTCCATTCTTATAGTTTAATCTAGTTATATAGCCATGAAGAAATATTAAAGTACAAGTGGTCCTTGTTTAACAGCCACTCATACAGTGACCATTCAAACTTACAACAATGTTGAATGAGTGATACAGTAGACTAGGAGCATCCTGTGGTAATGTGATCACCATTTGTGACTGTATTGGCAAGCAAAGTCAATGGGGAAACCGACAGGAGGTTGCAAATGGCAATCACCTGACATGCTTAGCAATAGCATGGGATTCACTTAACAATAGCAAACTGAAGTGCCAAAACTTGTGATCTCATGTGATTTCAGTTGCCATTATTTACCCAAAGTTACTTGTATGACATTTAAAAAAACCTCTAACTGTGTGGGGATTTGGGGTACAGTGCTACCAATTCAAAGACATACTGTATTTTTCGGAGTATAAGACGCACCCGAGTATAAGATGCAGCTTAGTTTTTGGGGAGGAAAATAGGGGGAAAAAATCTGCCTACCAGGTATTCATCTGGCTAGCATCCTTAATTTGGTCAGCTTTAGCACATTAGTTTGCTGGTTTTTTATCCCCTGCTTCAGGATAAAAAACAGCTTCTAAGGCACAGCTGAGAGGAAGCAGCAATGAGAAAAGCAGGCAAAGCACGGGGGAGATTGCTTCACTTGGCTAGCGCCTAATTAGGGCTGAAAAAAAGCTAAAGAACAGCTGAGAGTTGGAGAAAAGCATGGAGATCGCCTCACTCGCTAGCACCTCTTTAAAGCACAGGGGAGAGTCGAGGGAGCAGGCAAAGCTGGGAAGATCGCTTGCCAGTGCCTCATTAGCGCCTTGTTAGGGCTGAAAAAAAGCTTTGAAAAAGCTACATTCGGAGTATAAAATGCACCCAAATTTTCAGCCTCTTTTAGGGGGGAAAAAGGTGAGTCTTATACTCTGAAAAATATGGTATGTCTTTTCTGTCTTAGAAGTTTACTTGATAACAAACTATGGAAGGAATAGTGTGAAAGCACAGGTGATTACTTACAAAATCCTGTAAATTATGAAGGTTTGATTATATCAGAAAAGCTTTGTTTAGAAGCACCCATCATAGAAGCACCCAGCAACAATTATAAAATTAAGTTAGGGTTAGAAATTATTTACATTGGAATAAGAATATATTTTATTTATGCCTTCAAAGAAGCTTTTTACAAGCATTACCTTCTTGTAAACTACATTTTGTGAATATGTTTGTTGTACTGTATAAAGCATGAAATCATAATTTGCAGATTTCAAATCAATACAAAACACTTGTCTCACCAGATAACCCTTTGGAAAATTTTAGCTATCAAGCAAAACTATTTTGTTTTCATTTGATAGTCCTTTCCAGTTCATGTTTAAAAGCTGACTAGATTAAATGTTAAAAGTTTCTCCAACACCGGAAATGGCATACTTGTTTATCATACCAGGAAACAGCTGACAAGTAACTTTGTCCTTCAACACTTTGTTGCTATTCCCATCATGGGTTCCTCTACTTACTTCACTGATGGGGCTAACTTCAACCACCACACACCAACCAACATCAGTGTTACATCATTGCCAATGGGATTACAGCCTGTCCTCAGCATGTCTGTTAACCTAGCAAGATGTAATATTGGCAATTTTTATTGGCAATTTTTCATGTTGTAAACATAAGATTTGTACAGATTATCAATATTTAGTTTAACCTCTTCCAGTGATTGATTGCACAACCAAGTACAACTAAGTCAGAATCTAACCTATTATGTTTTTATTTGTGCTGTTTAAATAAATATTGGCTAAGATCAAGTATAATGTGTATGTGAATAGGAAAGAAAGAAAATTAAATCCAACATTTGTTTTGTTTTGTTACTAGTAATATCTAAAAATGACTCCGTGGTTTTGAGGCCTGTGACTGAAATCCGTATCCTTTTATAAGTTATTGCTATAACTATATAACATTTCTTGGATGTAAATAATAGCACTTTTAAAATCCAAAAATTCATCATGTGGCTAAGGGATTCCTATATATGGCTGCATAATATCAGGAAAGCTAATTGAACAAACTCATCATTATACCAAGGGTCATGATCCACAAGGTTAATAATAAACATCTCTGTTATTCATAGACTGAGGTACAGTACTATTATATGGCTTTAGTGGTCCACTAGCATGGCAGGATCATTGGATTAGTTTACCCATATAAATGAATAATGTATACATTTGGTAACTTAATCAGTAATTTTATAAATATTTACTACAGTTTTTCATCAAGACATCTGTTTTCTTTCAGTTTTTTCTTGCATTTTCTCCTTTGTTTTAAGACCTACCCTGTTTCCCCCAAAATAAGACATCCCCTGATAATAAGCCCAATCAGGCTTTTGAGCGCATGGCAATAAGGCAAAACACTTATTTCAGAGTTCAAAAAAAATAAATAAGACAGGGTCTTATTTTCGGGGAAACATGGTATTTTATGAAATGCAATAAATGTGGAAAATTAGAAGGTCTTATTCTTATGTTTAGATAAAATTGTACCCATACTTCACTAAAATGTCTCCTTAATACAAGTTTTAAGCCACACAATTTAGAAATATTTTCAAAGAGTTCCCTTATTTTAATTTTATTCAGTCTAAGGCTTTGGATGATGTAAGTATGACCTAATTATTATAATTTGATATTAAACTATTCTTACATTCTTGGGAAGTAATTATAACAAAAACTAAAACAAAATAAATCAATACCTAGAAGTAGCCTTCCATCCTTAGCACCCAAATGCACTGCAGAATAGTAGGATCTTAAGCACTTTCTTCAAGACCAGGAAGTTAGGGTGAAAATGCAGCATCACCCTATATTCTCCAGAAATTTGCACATTGTTGTCTTCTATCAAAATATATCTCCACTAGTATTTATACAGCATGATAAAATCTCAACAGACTTTCTTTTCTTGCAGCCTATGCTACAGCAACAAAGAAATAAATATTTTTAGAGTATAATGAGTACATTTATAAGATATCTTTTCCAAATCTCTTTAGATGTCATAATTGCCCAAAGCTACAATTGAATGAAGTTTTTAATTTAATAGGATCTACCTTTTGATAAACATTATAAAATCATACCGGACAATATTGTCTTGCAATTTATACAGGACAATAACATATTTCAAACTCCTATATTGATAGGAATGTATATGATTAACAATTTTTATTTTTTATTTTTTTATTTTTTTATTTGATTTATATGCCGCCCTTCTCCGGAGACTCAGGGCAGCTTACAATGCGTTAAGCAATAGCCTTCATTCTTTTGTATATTTTATACAAAGTCAGCTTATTGCCCCCACAAACTGGGTCCTCATTTCACCTACCTTAGAAAGGATGGAAGGCTGAGTCAACCTTGAGCCTTGGAGAGATTCGAAACAGCAGAAATTGCAGGCAGCTGTGTTAATGACAGGGTGCACTAAACCACTGTACTATCAAGGCTCTTTTGTATATTTGTAAAGACAGATTAAAATTAAAGACATTTATCTGCCAAAAAGAATCAAATCCAGGAAGCCCTCACTGGCACTTGCACAACATCTCTCCAACAACTTTAACATTGATTCCCAATAGAAAGTCAAGTGGGGCGCTGAATGCCCAGACATAGGTAGACATATAAATGACTGCACAAAAAAAGGTGCCAGACTTTGGACTACCATGTCAACAATGGACAATCCTGAGTAGGATTTGTACCTCACACTGCATCTCCCAGCATTCTTTATATAGAAGGGGCACAGTATCCTCCCCTCAGTGTGACTGAAGGGTCCCATGTCAAACTGTAGATGACATTGTGACCAGTTATAAGATGAGGGCATATACCTGTCCAGTATCTGATTTTTTAAATATAAGTGATGCTGCACTTCAATGGTTAAATAGCCTAGATATTGATACTTGAACATAGATCTTTTTAACATTTGTGTTTTATTGTGTTTTACTAATCTAGGTGAAATGTTAATATATATTGCTAGTCCATGTATGGTATGTCATGTGCTAAATAAATAAATAAATTGCATATTTTTTTCTCCTATGTGCACTATTTCCTCCTGGGACTTGAGAACTGGTTTTATGTTAGCAATGGTGTTTCACACCATGCCACATAATCATTTTAAATACCATATATTCTTCACAATTGTTCGGTGGCAAATGCAAAGAAATTTTTTTTTGGTTTACGCTCCTTTGCTTCTTATGTTTTTTAAAAAGTGAGTTTTTTAAAAGTCAAAATGGATGTTGTCGGCTGCTGTGCTACATTTTACTATTTGTTACTATTTTGTAGATCCTTTACACAGACAGAAATTTTGTAATCTGCGCACCAACTGGTTCTGGAAAAACTGTGATGTTTGAGCTTGCAGTTACCAGATTATTAATCAAAGTGCCAATACCTTGGTTAAATATTAAAATTGTATATAGTAAGTATACTACTTGTTAAAATTATTATTACTGCTCATAAAACTTTTTTGTGTTTGCTTGTTTTGGTTATTGCATGTAGCCTTTGGCAGCAACAAAACTATGTTTATATATTTTAATGATTTATTTATTTATTTATTTTATAGTTGTGCATGATGTGGTTTTGATTTATCCTTTCATAAGTCTTACTTTGGAAGGCCTCTTAGGGCAGTAGTTAGAAACTTAACTATGCCCTTTCGTGACATGATTCAGTGGGTAAGTTTGCAGATATAGGAAGATCTTCCTCCAAAGCTTAGTCCTCTGGTCTAAACTTTGCTTCTGTCACTTTTTACTGGAAATTCTTCCTGCAAAGAGAAAGGTGGCCCTTGTTTTAAGCAGGCAGTGATATGTAATGATTGGGTTGCGCTCTTTCTACAGTGCACAGAGAGGCAGAAATAGTTCTGTTCAGAGAGTGGGATTTCCTTTGCTTTCATTGCCTTTTTCTTTTAAAACATTTATTTTATTGGTTTCACTAGTAAGGAAAATAAATCCAGAAGCTCCAAATTTGGCGAATATTTTTTGTACTTTCTAGTGGCATCAGAAATAGGAACTTGAATCCAGTAGTTGCAAGGTCTCGCCTGGTCCTTCTCAATATGTTTCTGTACTGTCATCAGAATAATTGTCCTTTACTGCTGACAGTGAAAATACGGCAAAGTTAACAAAAAAGAAATCCATAAGATATAACGGCAGCACAGCCAATCTACCCAAGAATGGAGAATTTCTTTCTTTAAATGTTGATTTATTACAAAATTAATATGTCAACTAAAGCAAAAAAGTATGCTCTTTAAAAAAAACTTTAGAGAAAAGTTTTAAAGAGTATACAGTTAAGGTCAGTGAAAGAAGTAGAAGACATATAGTATATGAAAAATCATTGGAGTATAGCCCTAAAAGGAGTTGGGACATTCAAAGGAATTTGAAGTTGTGAGTGGGGGAAAGTAGAAAAGTATTGGAGATATTGTATTGGAGTTATTTTATGGATGTTTTGTTCTCTCACAACACTTATTGTTTTAGTGGCTCCAATAAAAGCTCTCTGCAGTCAGCGCTTTGATGATTGGAAAGAAAAATTTGGACCCATTGGACTCATCTGTAAGGAACTAACAGGAGACACAGCAGTGGATGACTTATTTGAGATACAGCATGCTCACATTATTTTGACCACGCCAGTAAGTTTCAAAAATTAGTTAATGTTGGTTTGTTCACTAGAAATATTCAGTACCACTCAAGTTATATTTTTATGTTTAGAAATAAGTCTGATCAGTCTCCAGTTGATTTATCTATAGTTTCACTATGAATTGATCACATGGCATGCATGAGAGGCTTCTTTGCTGCTGTGTAGAGTAGCATCAGCTATACAATGATTAAATCTGAAAAGTGAAAATGCAGCATTACTTTGTACAATGCATTAGATTACTCTGAAATTCTGTTTGAATTTGATCTGTGGTAATTTTTTTAAAATAAAAATGCTGCTAGCTTGAAATAAAAATATATTGAAATAATTGTTAGCATTTATAATGTTAAAGCTGATTGCTAGGTATAGTAATAATAGTGATTGACAGTACCAACAGTATTTTAATCCTATAAAACAGATGATTTAGATTGTACTACAATATTTTTTTTTCTATTATCCTTTAGGAAAAGTGGGATAGCATGACTAGAAAGTGGAGAGATAACTCTTTAGTTCAGCTAGTGAAACTTATTCTCATTGATGAGGTAAAGTAGTAACTGATGACTTAAAATGTAACAATGGAAAGCAGTAGATGTTTTATATAGAGCTGTATTTAATTCCGTAGGTACATGTTGTAAAAGATGAGAGCCGGGGTGCTACTCTTGAAGTTGTGGTCAGCCGGATGAAAACTATTCAGTCTTCTTTCTCACAGAGTTCTGACAATCCTAACTCAGTATTTCCCATGAGATTTGTGGCAGTTTCTGCAACAATTCCAAATGCAGAAGACGTAAGAAACATGAATTAACTTTTCTTTTTATACATTATACTTTATACTTAAGATTTCAAAAAGATTTTTTTCTCTCTTTTCAACTGCTTGCTATCCAAAATCAAATATCCTAAAAAGAAAGGAAAAGAAAGGACAATTACTTTAAATTAAAAAAGCTATGCTTGATGGGCAAACTTTGTAGTTCTCTCATATTTGTTGAATAATAATAATAATAGCCTTTATTGTCATTGTACATCATGTATACAACAAAATTGGTTTAGCCTCTACTGGTGCAATCCATAACAGAAAATACAAGACAAGAATATAGATTCAGATTACAGTGCTGGCAATCTAATGATTGTGTTCCAAAATGCATTGATGGGTCATAAGTTTGTAATGTATGTACTTAGGTTTCCGTTTCACATTGCCATCTCTAAATATTCGATTGCTTATTACCACAAGTCAGTGTCAGCTCTTAGCATAAGGTAGCATAAACATAGCTAGACTTGTCCCTTCAACTCTTCCAGTACTAGATTTTTGCATAATAGGTCCAATATGTTACAATTCCAGTGTCATTTTTACCTGAAATGAGAATTCTGGATGATTGTTCTATGAACCATTTGTTTGTTTGATGGGCTATTCATAATATGATCAAGAGTTTTCTCCAACACCAAAGTTCAAAAACAGCAAAAACTTTTTCTATCCAGCTGTTTCAAAGTCCAACCTTTGCTTCCATAGCCTGTCCTGGAGGAAACTATTGCTAACATGGTTCTGGTCTTCGTAGATAGGGACTCTTCACATCACTTAAATATTTTTTTCAAAGCCTCGAGTGCTACCTTACCAAATAGTTGATTCATTTCATCTTTTGAAGCTCAAAGTGTTGAGCTTTCCTACGTCTATGCTTCTGACAGTCCATATTCCCACAATAACTCTGTTTTTGCAACTTTGGTTTTTTTTCTTATGTGGCAACATTAGCAACTAGATATCTGGAAAGCTTTAATCTAGCTGAGCCATAAATACCATTAGTACTCCAAAAAATCCCAAGCTTTTCCTCAATAGAATATTAAGTGCCATCCAACCTGAAAGAGCCAGCACTATATCATCAATTACTTTATTTTGTCTATCCACGTGATTTTCTTAGTAAAATGTGTGTTTATCATTGTTTTCTTTCACATAGTATAAAATTATCCATTTGCTATTGTCACTAAAATGATCATCCACCACCAGCATGTTCCTATACTGCTGCTGCTACTGCTGCTGCTACTGCTGTTTAATCTTGGATGACCCTTTTGGGACTTGGCCAGTGGTGGGATTCAGCCAGTTCGCACCACTTCAGGAGAACTGGTTGTTAACTTTCTGAGCCGTTTGGCAAACTGGTTGTTGGAAGAAATCATTAAGGCAGAGAACCGGTTGTTAAATTACTTGAATACCACCACTGGACTTGGCATACAAACCCTACATTGTTCACTTCTCCCTTGCAAGAACACTCCCCATCATAATGAGGCAGCACAGCAAGACTTGAAGGGAGAATTATATATTCACAGCTTCATTTTCTTCCTAAAACCTCAGTCAGCAAGGCTTCTGCATGAATTTCAGTCCAATAATATATAGTTTGGTAATTCACATCCTGATCCTTTCTCCTGCTTTGGGGGAATCTATTTGAGCATTTCTGCTGTCAGCACCTATTTTCCAGGGGACACTTAATCTGGTGTCCATGCCATGAACTACTGCCCTTGCAGCTTGTTCCACTGGTTAAGAGCTCATTCAATCAGTTTTGTCCCTCATGATGTCTAGCCTGAATCTGTTTCACTGAAGTTTTAACCATTAATAAAGAATAAGTTCATCTCTCTTCTATGACAGCTCTTCAGATATGACATGCAGTCACTGTCATATCTCTCCTGATCCTCTAATGCACCAGACTACTATATTTTAAAACAAAAGAATCTAAAAGCAAAATTTAACCCTCATCTTACTTAAGACAGAAGTGATTTCTCTCACTGTGCTCATCCAGCTAGCTTGTCCTACTGTGTTTCCCCAAAAATAAGACAGGGTCTTATTTTCTTTTGACCCCCGAAATATGGCTTTGCCTTATTATCGGGGGTCTTATTAATTTTGAGGTGCAGGACCTCAAAACCTTGGCCCCAGCAGGGGGACTGGTGCCAGAGCACCGACCAGCTGCTCTGCCGTGCCACTCAGGCCACTGCCTCTAGTAATCGTGGCAGCTACCCAATGCCCAGAAACTTTTCTTTTCTTCCACACACACACACACACTCCCATAAAATTGACAGGGCTCGGTTGGGTGGAAGGATGCCCCAGAGGAGGGTCCCGAGTCCAACTCCCGAGCCCAGGCGATGCCCGGTGCAGAGCAGGTCAAAAGGGAAGTGAGCGGGGCTCACCTGGCATGGGGCACGAAGGCCAACAACATGTGTCTTCTCAGGCTCGGCCATGGCTGACATCGGCTGGCGCCTCTCCGGCCAGCTTCGCCAGGCTCCATGGCATCCTGGATGAGAAAGGCTCTGGAGCACGAAGCGGGAAGGAGGTGGATTTTCTGGCAAGCCTGTATGCAAGCAAGCTCCCCGCGATTGGCTTTGTGTGCGACAGGAGGGCGAGGGGGCAGGAGAAGTGTGGCGGGACAGCCCGGGGGTCTTCTCTCCCCCCACCCCACTTCTCTGATTACCAACCAAGGGGGCTGGCTGGGCTGGGTTGAGCTTTCATGGTCGCTCTCAAAGCGGCCAAGGGCTGGGGTGGGGGTCTCCGCCCCGAGGGTTGCCCGGTCAGCCTTGCCAAAGTTCTCCCGAGCCCCCCCCGCCCCCCCACAGCCATGGATGGGATAGGATGGGATGGGGGTTGGTTGCAGCTCCTGGAGCCTAAGCGGAGAACAAAAGGACGGCCGGGAAGAGTTTAAAAAAGAAAACTCAAGTTCTCAAGTTACATACCGCTCAGATGGGAGGAAAGGGGAGCAGGAGAATAAGTGCTGGCTTGGATTGCAAAAGCCACGGACTGGCTTTATCCCCTTCCTCTTGAAGAGCCTGCAAGGCAAACAGGATATCTGGGGTTTGGGCGAGCAGCAGAATTCTTGCTTCTCCGCCGCCCCACCTCTCCCCACCTGCCACTCCCCCTTACTGGCCGAGATCAGCAAACCAGATTTGGGGAACTGAACGCGCTGCCGCTGCCCGGGAGAAGAAAAACGTGAGAAATGGGTGCTCTCGCACAGGGCCGGATTTTCCTATAGGCTAACTAGGCTTCAGCCTAGGGCCTCAAGATCAAGAGGGGGCCTCAAGATCAAGAGGGGCCTACATTCAAATTGTTAGCAAAATTAAAATTACACTTTCACTATAGGTGAAAGGGCCTCATAAGTGGAATAGCCTAGGGCCTCTTTTCATCTAAATCCGGCCCTGCTCTCGCAGCACCTCCTCTCTCTCTTCTTCTCCCGAGTGGCAGCTGTGTGGCCGGCTCACCGAATCTGGCCTGCTGATCTCAGGCGACAGCGGCTCTCATGTTCTCCCTCCCTTCCCCCCCTGTACATACATTTAAGTATTGGGGGGGGTATTTTCGGGGGGGGTATTTTAGCACATGCAATCGGAAGCCCAATTGGGTTTATTATCCGGACATGTCTTAATTTCTGGGAAACACGGTAAGTAATCCTGATTCCCATATCTTGCAACCTTCAATCAGAGTTGTAAAAGCACTTCCTCTTAGCTCCTCTTGGCTCCCTACAGATTTTTGGTTTATGCCTCAATGCCTTATCTTACCTCCAATGCCAAAATACTTTGGCCTGCTTTTACCATGGGGCCTACCCTGATCATGTAGAAACTTTTATTGTTCCTGCAAATAATGCTTTTATGTTCTCAAAAGATTTTCTTGGCTCAGATGTGTTGCCCTTCCACACTTGCAGCAGAAATAGTTATCTTTGCTATTACTACAATCTATCCTGCTCGAGCATCTCTTGGTTGTGTGTTTTTCCTGGAAACTAGTCTATTGAATTAGTTGTTCAACCATGTTGTTATTTTTCCAGTCTTCATTTTACTTACATTTTTCTGCAATAGAAAAAAAATTTATGTTTTCTTTCCATTGGTCTTTTCTGAGTGACCTGCTTCTTTTCACGTCTAGCTACCTCCCTGGTATTTGTCTCAAAATAACTTTTTTTAAACAGAATGGGGAATTTCCTCCTGGTTTTCCTCAGGAAAGTTCTGTCAGCATTATTGCTACCTGCCAGCGGCCAGAATACCAGAAACAACATAGTACTTGTCCTCTATAGCTAAAAAAGAAGAAGTTATCCCAGTTTGCATGTATACATGCTTGCATTTATAGTCATGGATTCTCCTGCCTATTTGCTCAGGCATCTAGGATATGTGTACTGGCTATTTGGATGAATATGGAAGAAGGAACTGTTTGCTATGTCCTACTTGAGTGAATAAAGGATCACTAATTTACTACATTCATAATGCTTATTTCCAATTCCTGTTTTGCATGGAATAGCCAATAAATCAGTGCAAGTGATTTTGAAATTGTATTATTATTTTTTTTACTGTTATGCCAGGGATGTAGTGATTGAATATTATACAGAACATCTAATGTCTTGCATATAGATAACATTCTCCACTCACTCATCTTCATATAAAGTAGGAAACACTCTATAATAGCAGAAAGATAGACCTGTAGGCAGTATTTAGCTGTATTAGCTGGTAAATCTTGGTAAAAATTCTGGAACAGTACTTTATATTCATGACACAGACAACCACACTGAATACCCAGTACAGTAAATCTAAAAATATTTTGCCAGTGGAGCTTTCATGATTAAAGTACAGTTCCTCTTGAGCAAGTCCTTTCAGGACTGCAGCCCAAGGCATTTTTTTTCCAATTTCAATCCTAACATGTTTTCTTTTCCTTTAAAGATTGCAGAATGGCTTTCAGATGGCAAGAGGCCTGCTGTATGCCTGAAAATAGATGAAAGACACCGTCCAGTGAAGCTGCACAAAGTTGTGCTTGGATTTCCCTGCAGTAGCAATCAAACTGAATTCAAATTTGACTTAACACTTAACTATAAAGTAGCTAGTGTTATTCAAACATATTCTGAACAAAAGCCAACACTTGTGGTATGCGTGACAATTTCCCCCTTAACAATTGTCAGTGTATATTTCAGAATTATTATAAACAATGGATTTTCTTATTTACAGTTCTGTGCCACAAGGAAAGGAGTTCAGCAAGCTGCTTCTGTACTAGCAAAAGATGCTAAATTTATTATGACTATAGAACAAAAACAAAGGTACCTTGTAATGCAGGCTTTCTCCTGGTTACAACATATGCATAGTCTAAATGTAGCAAAACCTGTGCTTCTCATCAGTTTATATTGGACTGCTATAGAATCAGTACCCCCAAGATGTTCACATGTAGTGATTAGATAATGAAGTGAATATTTTTCATAGGACTATTTCAGGGAATGCAAATTAATAGCATCAAACCACTTACTTATTATGTAATTAAATTCATCCTTTTGTAAAGTAATTGCTTTTGGAATATCTAAAATAAATTTATTATTATTATTTATTAATTCAATTTGTATGCCACCCCTCTCCGAAGACTCAGGGTGTCTCACAATGCATTTAAAATCATTATAAAAAGCATTTAAACATTAAAAACATTAAAACTCATTCACACCATTCATGGCCGGATCTCGCCGGATCGCAAGAGCGAGATCAACAGCCCCAGGCCTGCCGGAAAAGCCAGGTCTTCACCACTTTTCGGAAGGCCAATAGAGTGGGGATGGTCCAGACCTCAGGAGGTAACTGGTTCCAGAGAGCTGGGGCAGCCACAGAGAAGGCCCTCCCCCGTGGGCCCGCCAGCTGGCATTGTTTAGCTGACGGGACCCGGAGGAGACCAACTCTGTGGGATCTTACCGGTTGTTGGGAGTTATGCGGTAGAAGGCGGTCTCAAAGATACCCTGGCCCTGAGCCATGTAGGGCTTTAAAGGTAATAACCAATACCTTGAATTGTGACTGGAGACCAATAGGGAGCCAGTGCAGCTCGTGGAGAATTGGTGTAATTCTCCCAGCCAGCACGCGCGGCTGCATTCTGGACCAACTGTAGTCTCCGAACACTTTTCAAGGGTAGCCCCATGTAGAGGGCGTTGCAATAATCTAACCGTGAGGTGATACAGGCATGAGTGACCGTGAGGAGAGCCTCCCGATCCAAGTAGGGAAATTTCTCTGTGCTCTGCAGTTGTCATGTAGCAGATATCAGCAATTAGAGTATTAGTGCTGAATATTTTCATTGTTTTTCCAGTCTCCCTGTAATAATCTTAAAAATTCCTTAAAAATACACTTCAATGATTTGCAGTCAATTTCTTGAAGCAGTAATTTTACTGCTTTAATTGCATACTCCATATAAATATTTGTATGAGTACAATAAAGGTATTTAATTTATTTGTTATTTCAATTTTATAGTTGCCCATCTCAAATTGATGATTTTGGGTGACTTACAATTAAAATTTAAAAAAGTATAAAAATATAAAATAATATAAAACCATATAATATTTATATAACACAATTCACAACCAAGGTATAAAAAAAGCCAACAATACTCAACAAAACCATTGTATAGGTTCTATTGCACAGCCAGGTCTCCAAGCCTCGCAAGAAACTATGTATTCATTGAAGAATAAAGAAGAGGTTCTCCTATTTTTCATCCCAGTCCAATTCAAAGTTTATCATGATGAAATCAAACGGGGTAATCTTTAACAAAAACCATTACTTTTTTGTACTTATTTAATGTCTTATTGTAATTGCCATATTTTCTTGTTCTCTCCTTGAAGATTACAAAGATCTGCAAATTTAATAAAAGAAGCCAAGCTTAGGGGTATGTATGTTATGCTAATTGGAGAAACTATAATTATTTCTGTATAAGGGGAAAAAAAATCAATGTTTCAAGTTTGAATTTCATTTGTAGATCTCCTTATTTGTGGAGTTGCTTATCATCATGCTGGAGTAGAAGTGTCTGATAGAAAAACAATTGAAGCAGCTTTTAATATGGGAGACATACCAGTTCTTTGTGAGTACAAGGCATTTCAGAATAAAAATATTTTTTATAACTTTATTTATAGTTTTTTCTTTGACATACATAAGTGCTTAGTGAACAGTGTATTGTCTGGGTCAATTTACTTTATACACAATACTGATAAAATAATGCTATTTAGGTATACATGATAATCTTAAAACTTCCAACATTTATGTATACATAGTAATTATAATATATTATATTATTTAGCAGCATACATAATATTTTCCCAATTTCTAATCTCTACCTCTATTTTCTAACCCTTAATAAAGCAAATCCCATATTAAGAAGTATACTGTATCTATCCATCATCTCTTGCCCGTTTTAGTATTTCAATACTTATTGATTTCTTGACAAATCTCCCATGCTCCTCCCTTGGGATCTTGTATCCCCTTACATCACTCATATTTAGTCTAAGTATATTATCTGCCTCTACATCTACCTCTCGCTGTCGAATCTCTAGAGCACCCATCAATAACTCTTTCATCACATCTGGGGGATCTTTCTCTTTGTCCTCTTCTATATTTTGACCTCTTAAAGAGTAATCTACCTGTTCCACTTCAAGAATTTTTACTATCTCTTCTGTATCTTTATCTGTTTGTGTCAGATATTCTTTTCTCTTCTCTTTCTAATTTCTCCTCTATTTTCTGAATTTTTTGTTAATTTTTATTGTCATTTGCTGAGGGTTTCCTAGTCTTACATCTGTATCATGCATCAGTTTCTTCATCTCCCTATGGTTCCTTGTCATAGCTTCTTGAATACATTGAAGCTTCAATAGTATTTCTTTTTGAAATGAATTTGTTTTTCCCTGTTGTAACATTTTGCTTTAATTTAATGGGCTAAAAGTTACACAATAATGCACCAAAATCCCAATATCCCAATTGTCCAGAACACCAATAAGCCAATATTAGAAGAATTTGCTCAATCCCGGAACTGTTCCTCAGAATCCACAATTTTTATGGTCCTCGAAATCTGCCAATTTACTCCCTCTGAGTTATCCAAATTTGTAGAAAAGAACTTTTCTTCTTTTGTCTCGTAAAATGTTCTATCAAACAATATTTATAATCCAGAATGGCCCACCAAATTTCCCCATGTCTCATTAATCCACAAAGTCAAATGTTCAGTTTCGAGGGCAATTCCTATTGTTTATAATCCACATTACTTTGAAGATCTTCAAAAGGCTCCCTAGTTATTCCAAAACAGCCAGGTGTTGTTTGCCTTTCACTTTGTTTCCCTTCTTATCAATTCTGGCTTCTATCAAGGCCTTTTCCAGCCATGTAGTAGTATAGTATCTTTTTTCACCAGTAGGTGGTAAAAAAGTAGCTCTAAGTAGCTACTAAGTAGAGCTCCAGTAGCTCTAAGTACCAGCATTAAAATGAAACGGAAGATATAAGCGACTTGTCAAATGATCAAAAGGTCAATTTTTCTTTATGCAATTTCTTCCAGTAGTCCAACAATATTATCAGCAAATTAAAATCACTTTTAACAGTATTGCGAGTTCCAGTCCGGTCTTTCTATATTTTAAAATGTCATAGTCTTCTATTAAAATTTCATTTCTCTTGTGAGTCTATAATCTCTATATGCTAACTCACCACTTTTTCAGCGCTTTGGAGAGTCTCTCAAAAATTCTTTTACTTGGGGTTGAGTTCCTAATATAGAAGTTCCATAAAATCATTTCACCCAGTTCCAATCCTCTGTTCACAAACTGCTCCAGCTCATTAATATTTCTTGTTCGATTGTCCCAGCTTTGGTCTCTCTCTTCTTCATTGGTCAGGAGGGTGCTTTGGATCGAGCTGGGGAGACACTGCTCTCCCACGATCAACAAAGGGTCCTTCCTTTCTTCATCACCCCTCCAGGATGACTTTAGCCCCTTAGGGCCTCCTAATGAAGAAGAATTGGCCCCGCTACCCACAACCATCTCGCTGCAATGCCAAACCGGAGGTTTTTCGAATAAAAATAATGTTGATACTTTATTTCTTTAAAAAGTTAACAGTCAAACTGTTATTGAATGATTAATTTGTTAATTTATTGATGAGTAGAATTTCTTCATGACAATCTGTTCCTTTAAGCTCTCCCAACAATGCACTCCTTGCTATTGTAAACATCTTGCGGTTGATCATCTTCTTCTTCTCCTTCCTTCCATTTTCCATGGCATTAAAGTTTTCTTCAGACAGCTAGATTTTCACAAAATATATCTAAAGTAGAATAATTTGAGCTTGGAGTTCATTTTTTTAACTGGGATAATCTTAAAAAACCTTAATTTGTAAAAATGGAATTTATCATGATAGTTTATAAATGTGGTATGGGGGCAGCATGTTTATCACTTTTTCACTTAATAATATTGAAATTAAGTCTCATGATGAAGTATTCTGTTTTTTGAACTTTTATTTTATTTTTATGCACTGTCATTTTTAATTTTTATTATAACTATAAAAGTCCAAAGTTGGAAAGCTCTGGGTCTCTAGATTTCTGAGAAGGCCTGTTGGTAAATTAATAATTATTTTTTAAAAATTGCTATTCAAAATTATCTAAATGCAAAGGCAACACAGTGTGGAAAAGTAAATGGTTATGGACATGAAGAAGAGGGCTTAGAGTCAAATTCCTATTTTGTTGCAGATTTTCTGAATTTTAGTTTGGCTAACTAACTTCTTATAGATATTTCATTACCAAAGTAGTAACATTATCAGTGTCTTGACCCAAACAAATGGTGTTTGTTAAATTTTATATGTGTAAACTCTGCTACCTTGTTCAGAGCCCTGACCATATTAGCTAATTCAATAATGAAAAATTGGAAGAAGAAACCAAGATCAGCAAACAGCAATATCTCAAAATTTTAACCCTGAGCTACACATATCTCCATTTTCTAGCCTTTTAGATGTATATGTCACTAGTGGACTAGATACTTACACAGTTGCTGCATATTATATGCAAAATGAAATGTCCTGCTACAACTTGACATAATATTTGAGTATACTTGTTTGAAATAACAGGGGTTGTGTCAGCAAAATATAATATATAATGTTATAAGATGGAGAATTGAATGAGTAAGCTTAAAACTTTTTTCTCACTTCATTGTATCGAAAGGAAGAATGTCTAGTACCGTGATGGCGAACCTATGGCGCGCGGAGCCATATCTGTGGGCACATGAGTGTTGCCCTAGGTCAGCTCCAGCGTGCATGTGCGCGCCGGCCAACTGATTTTCGGGCCTTCCGGGCCCACCAGAAGTCGGTAAATGGGCTGTTTCTGGCTTCCAGGGGGGGGGGGCGGCGGGGAAGACCATTTTTGCCCTCCCCTCAGCCTCCAAGAAAGCTCTGGAGCCTGGGGAGAGTGAAAAATGGGTCTTCCGGGCTCACCGGAAGTTGGGAAATGGGCCCTTTCTGGCCTCCAGAAGGCCTCCAGGAGGGTGTGGAAGGCCATTTTCACCCTCCCCAGGCTTTTAGAAAGCCTCTGGAGCCTGGGGAGGGCGAAAAATGGGCCTAACGGGCCCACTGTGCCATCACTTTCCAAAAGCGGGGGGAACATGAGTGGGGGACCGCACACGCATGTGTGGGAGGCAGGGCACAGGAGGCATTGAATTATGGGTGTGGGCACATGCATACGCAACCCTCCCACACTCCTCCCCCGCTTTTGGCACACAACGGCAAAAAGGTTAGCCATCACTGGTCTAGTATGTTACAAAAATATACTTATATCCACAATTTTTAAAAACCCATCTCTTGTAACAAGTTCAATATCTGATTTTTGCAGTTACTACTAGTACACTTGCCATGGGAGTAAATTTACCAGCACACCTGGTAGTTATAAAATCAACAATGCATTATGCTGGAGGAATGTTTCAAGAGTACAGTGAAACTGATATTTTGCAAATGATTGGGAGAGCAGGAAGACCTCAAGTAAGATTAATGTATCTTAAAGCAAGTTTTATATGGAATTAGTAAAAGTTGGCACTAATATGTCCGATTGTGTGTGTGTGTGCCTTGGAGTCATTGCTAACTCTTACTAACTGCCTGGATCAATCCCTGAAGTTTTCTTGGCAAGCTTTCAGAATTGATTTGCAACTGCCTGCTTCCTAGGGCAGAGAGGGTTTGACTGGACCAAGGTCATGCAGCAGACTTTGTAATCCAAGGCAGAATTAGAAGTCACAGTCTCATTCTTTCTAATCTAGTGCCTTAACTACTACACCTGTCTTTCACATTTGATATATTAATTCTGTTGTAAATGAATGTCTGCCCATTTTTATTAGCACACTAGAGCTATTGTTGAATAATTAATATAACTATTTTTAAGAGAAAACATATAGTTGTTACTAGGGTTTAAAATTGAATGTTAAATGTTTCTGAATTAATCTGTAAAACATCAATAGGAAAAAAATAACTTTCATAAAAGTATTAAGCAGTTCATATTGCTTGTTGTTAACACTAGCTAGAATATTCTAATTTTATATTTTAACTTTTGCAACTGATAAGCAAAGCTGCAAGAAAAAAATATATGTGAAATGTAAAGCTGGCAATTTTACTATTTTGTGCAACTTTCATATAAATTCTATTCCTAGACAGAACCAAAATTTGATACTTTTAATGTTCGTTCTATGAATTTATGAAGAAATTGTTAGAACAGTGTTTAGCCCATACTCCTTATTGGTCATCTCTTAAATGAGACCTCTGTTTTTATACTTATTTATAATATTTTAATAGAGGGTGAAACATAATCCTTGCTCATTATCTTTGTAATCTTTGTTTAATTGAATTAAAGTAAATGTATATCTATAACCTCTTTACATTTCAGAAATTCCCTTCTGGGATTTTCAATAGCAAATAAAAGACATGGGGGAATGTCTTGAATTAGCATAATAATAATATGCTTTCCTAAAGCCTTCAGAATTACAAATCCCAAAGACCTCAGTTTGCTTACTTTCTATTATGCTTGAAGGTGTATTGTATATATATTTTTTCCACAGTTTGATACAACAGCAACAGCAGTTATCATGACAAGGCTAAGTACAAGAGACAAGTATGTTCATATGCTAAATGGTGCAGATACAATAGAAAGCAGGTAACTTAAATTGTTTTTAGTATGTAGCTAGAAATGCTCTCCATATTTGTTTGATTATTGGAAAGAAATTTTTCTCTAGGATCATGAAGATAGGCCTGTAAGGAAATTTTTTTAGAAAATCTTTGTTTTTCAAGCATGAACCAGAATAGTAAGCAATAAGGTAAACAGACCACACAGTATTTTCACTGAATGTTTACTGTAATAATCTGAATATAAGAGGAACAAGTTTATCCATCATATGCAATCATTTGTAGTACAATAGTAGTAATATGAGAATTAGAATAAGAAAATACATATGGTTATTTCTTTTCTTTTTTTTCCTTAAGCATCTTAAAAGGAGCTTTGGGACTGAGAAAACACTGGATGTATCTGTGGAAAGGACTCCTTCCCTTAGTTCTGTTATTCAGATTCAATTTAGAATACAGTTATTTTCAATTCAAAATTTAAACACTTTGAGATTACACAATTTCCCCATTGTATATAATCTGGACTTGTTCATTATTATTATTACATTTTTATTCCATCTTTCATATATATGTGTACATGAACATGTATCTGTATATTTATATGGATATGTATACATACATGTATCAAAGTGGTGAACATAGTTAATACTCCTGCCTTCTATTTTCCCCACAAAACCTCTGTGAAGTGGGTTGGAGTGAGAGCAAAAGTGACTGACCCAAACAAGCTTCCATGCCTAATATATGTTTAGATTGTGATCTTATTGTATTTTGAGTGATTTCTGAAGCTCTGCCCAGAAAAATAATAGCTAGCCACATTTTAGAATGTACTATAAAACTGACATAGTTTAACATGCTCTTTAAACTCCAAATTCCAACAAAAGAAAGCTAAGTATGGAAACAGGTATTTCTGCATATCTCTAAAATTGCATTTTAAGGTTATTTTGCTGCTATATGTTGGAAAAATCAGCACTAGCTGCTAAAAATGGTGATGTGCAAATTCTTTATTGTTCTATTTCTGAAATATGAAGGAATTTGAATCTGAATCTGAGCCACTACATAATCATGTAAACTCATATAAAACCTGTACAGGAAGACAAGGAAGTCAGACCACTTTGAACATTGAGGCCATCACAAAATGTAACGTCTGTATATCTCTGCTTTGAGCTTAAAGGAAGGTGCATATGTACTTTGAGATATATATCACTTCTGCAACTGCTGAACAGCAAGGTCAAGATAGCTAATGCAATTTATATAGACTTTATATTGATTCCCAATAGACAGACAGTATTGGATGATTGCTATCATGTCACTTAAGCCTTCTCTTCATTAGGCCTAACATACCATTCCCTTAGCCAGTCATTGTACAATTTAGCCTCCAGACCCCTTATCATTTTTGTTGGTCTTCTCTGCATTCTTTCTAGGGCCTCAGCATCTCTTTTTGTATTGTGGCAACTTAGCATATACTTATATACCACTTCACAGTGCTTTATAGCCCTCTTTAAGCAGTTTACAGAATCAGCATATTGCCAATCTGTGCCCTCATTTTATTGACCTTGGAAGGATGAAAAGCTGAGTCAACCTTGAACTGCTCCCAGGATCCTGATCCTTCTTTTGATGCAACCTAGGACTGCATCTGCCTTTTTGGCAGCTGCAGCCAAACTGCTGACTCATAAGCAGTGGTCCACCAGGACACATAGGTCCCTTTCATAGACACTATTATTGAGCCAGGAACTGCCTATACTGTACCTGTGCATTTAATTTTTTCTTCCTAAGTGCAGGACCTTATTTTCTCACCAGTGACCCATATCTTGTTGGATAGGACCCAATGCTCAAGTCTGACAAGATCCTTCTGAATCTTGAGACTATCTTCCAAAGTGTTACCAATTCCCTCCAGCTTGGTGTCATCTGCAGATTTGATGTGTGCCCTTCAATCCCCTTATTTAGGTAATTTATGAAGATGCTAAAGAGCACTATGCCCAAGACAGAACCTTGAAATACCCTACTGCATGCTTCCTTTCACATAGATGTAGTTCCATTGAGGACCACACACTGAGTGCCATTCGTCATCCAAATGCAAATACATCTGGTGTGGTCCACTCTATCCCACATTGTTCTATCTTACCAAGAAGTAAACTGTGGATTCCTTTATCAAATGCCTTACTGAAGTCAAAGTATATTATATCCACAGCATTTCCTTGATCCACTAATTTAGTCACTTTATTAAAGATGGCAATAATGTTTGTTTGGCATGATCTGCTTTTAACAAACCCATGCTGGCTTCTAATAATAACCTTGCTCATTTCTAGGTGCTCACAAATCCACTACTTAATTATCTTTTCCAGGATTTCCCCAGGTATTGATATCAAACTGATTGCTTTGTAGTTTCCTGTATCCACTCTTCCCCCTTCCACCCCCTTTGAAGATTGGATCCACATCAGCTCTTTTCCGGTTCTCTGACAGTTCCCCCATTCTCTAGTAGCCCTGAAAGATTTCATTCAGTAGTTCCGAAATCACATCTGCCAGCTTCTTGGATGTAAATCATCTGGTCTGTAGATTTGAACTTGTAGAACCCCACAGGCTATTAGCCACAGGCCAATTCCCAATGAGTTTAGTATAAGTTTTCCTAGGCTTCTGTTTGATAACATCTGGAGAAATGGGAACAGAAACTTCAGACCTAGTAAAGCAGGATTTCCATTCTCCAGCTTCATCAAGAACTCCAACAAAATACCATAATCAGTGTTATCAAAAGTTACCATGAGTTCAAGAGGTGTCAGCAGAATTCCTGTCTCCTGGAACATGTAATTAGTGGAACCAAGGCAAATCCAAGTTTTATTTCATATTTAATTTCATATTTAGAACTATTGTCTCAAGGTTCGACCACCTGAATAGAATGTTCAGTGTACTTAAGATATTATCAGATTTGCTTCTTAATCTGAAAATTTCAGTTAGAGAATTCAAGACTGAGATTAATCTTTAGAAGAAATCAGACTGTAATAGGTTTATGCTGAAGGCTGCCAGGCTTTGTTGTTGTTTTTCCTTTGAATGACATAAAAATATATTTAAGCTCTCCCATAAAGAAATGAAACCAACTACCATATTTTTTGGAGTATAAAACGCTCTGGACTATAAGATGCACCTACCTTTTTTGGGGAGGAAAACAAGAAAAAAAACCCTGCTTCTGCCTCCCAGCATCCATCCGGTATTCATCTGGCTCATTTGCCATGGCCCATTTGCCACAGCCCGTTTGCCGTGGCCCATTTGCTGACACCCATTCGCTGCTGACTGTTCAGCACCGCCACGGTCCGTTCACCGCCACCACAGCCCATTCACTGCCATCACGGCCTGTTCGCTACCACTGCGGCCCATTCGCCATCACCGTGGCCCATTCTAGAACAACTGATCAGCACCACACCAACCCCCCTCCCCCCACCACAACATTCGCTGTATAAGATGCTGTATAAGATTTTCACACACTTTGGGGGGGAGTGCGTCTTATACTCTGAAAAATATGGTATTTATATCTTAATATTTAACTATTACTTAATTAAATGTATTGTTCTTTTAAATATCTATATTTAAGGGGTTCAGTATAGATCCCAAATCACTAATTCTCTATTTAAGAATGAAATGTGTTGGTAATAATATATATTTTATGCATTTAATTTGTATCTTATTTTTTCCTTTTCTCTCTCTTTTTATATTAGTTTGCACAAACATCTAATTGAACACTTAAATGCTGAAATAGTGCTTCACACCATCACTGATGTGAACATAGCTTTAGAATGGATGAGATCAACTTTCCTTTATATCAGAGCTTTGAAGAATCCAGCTTATTATGGTAGGTGGCACTTAAAATTCGCGAATTGAAGTAGACAATTAAAATGTGATGTGGTAATTTGTTTCTTATGATAAAACAGTTTTCTGTTGGCAAATAATTTATTCAAAACATTAATGGTATTTCTTATGCATTTCCTTTTTCAGTAGAAATCTAGGCAATCAGAATATGTAGTCTCTTATTGCTTATGTTCATCTGTCTTTTCCTGCTTGTGAATACAGAACAATATTTTTGTGGCATCATTAAGCAAATTCTATGATCATTAAGTGAACAGCATCGTCATTAGGTGAATCCATTATACCCAATGGGCGTTTTTTTGCTGGAAACCAGAAATGAACACGGGAAACTAGCAAACAATGTAAAGAATCATGGTCATATGATCATAGGATGCTGCAAAATGGCCACAAAAGTGAGCCAGTTGCCAAGCACCCAAAATGCAATCAAGTTAACAAAAGCAAGTTTGAAAATGAACTGGCGCAAGCTGGGAACTAAGAAAAACTTTCCAGAAAAAAAGTCCCCAAGTCCATCCTAATGGGAGATTCAGTTGGATGATAGTTTAGCACCTCAAATTTAAACTCCCTTTTCTCACTCTTCTTAATGATATGACCCAGAGCGAAGAGTATACAGCCTGCCTTGTACATTCTAATGGATACTTACCGTATTTTTCGGACTATAAGACACATCGAAGTATAAGACGCACCTAACTTTTGGGGAAGAAAACAAGGGGGGGAAAAATCTGCCTCTGCCTCCCAGCAATTTACCTCCTTGCAGCAAACAGCAAATAGCCTAGTCAGCTTCAGCACAGCCTGATTTAGCACAAGCAGCTGGTTGGCGGTTTGATGGGCCTCCTGAAATACCATCTATCAGCTGTTCCAGGCTGCGGGGATTGCCACCGCCCATCGCCACCATCGCCACCTATGCCACCTATCGCTGCTGCAGCCTATCACCATCTCCACACACCTCATTTTCAGCCTCTGCATGTCCCATTTTTGGCCCATGCCACTGCTGCCTATCCCCCCCACCTAGAACAGGCCAAAAAGGGATGCACGGAGGCCAAAAATGGTGCACGTGGAGGCGGTGATAGGTGGCAGCAGCGATGGGCAGCGATGGCGGCAATGGGCGGTGGTGATCCCTGCAGCCTGGAACAGCTGATAGGCGGTATTTCAGGAGGCCCATCCAACCACCAATCAGCTGCTTGTCCTAAATCAGGATATGCTGAAGCTGACCAGGCTGTTTGCTGTTTGCTGCAAGGAGGTAAATTGCTGGGAGGCAGAGGCCGAAGGGTGGGGGCTGATGGGTGGGTGGGGTTTTGGCAACATTCACTGTATAAGATGCACAGACATTTCCACCCACTTTTGGGGGCGGGGGAAGTGCGTCTTATACACCGAAAAATATGGTATAGATATATATGTGTATATATAGATACCCATAGATGCAACCTGTTATTTTGTTACACAGATGAAAATACACAAACTCTGCAGCAAATGGGAGATCAAACAGATTCCTAACTAACTTAGCTGGCAACTTTGTTATTCAAAAGGTAAAGGAGGGAACTGGAAGAAAAACTATACTGGACCTAATTCTTACTAATAGAGAAGAAACGAAAGAGGGAGTTGAAGTTGCTGGAATTTTGGGCGAGAGTGACTATGTCATACTGGAATTCAATATAATGCAAACACAAGCAATAGAATATAATCCAATCAGTGTCTTAAACTTTAAAAGAGCTGATTTTAACAAACTCAGAGAAAGCCTAAGCAAAATTTCATGGAAAAAAAATCCTAAAGGGGAAAACAACTCAAGAAGCGTGGGAAACATTGAAAAATATGATCATAAAAGCCCAGCCCAGCCCAGCCCAACACAATACCACAGAAAAACAAGAAATCCAAAAAGAAACCAGCATGGTTGCACAAAGAACTCTCTGATAAACTGAAAGACAAAAAGGATAAGTAGAAAAAATGGAAAGAGGGACACATAACTAAGGAAGACTATCAGCAGATAGCGTATAAATTGAAAAAAGAAAAAGAAAGGAGAACAATATTTCAATTGCAGGACGAAACAGGACAAATATACCATAACAACCTAGACAAAAAACGTATAGTCAAAGATTTTTTTCAAAACCTTTACAAGAAAGAAGAGATTCGGGATGAAGACATTAAGGAATACTTATGTAAAACAAACATTACAAAATTAGAGGAGTCCCACAGAGAAGCATTAAATAGACCAATTACGATGTCTGAGCTGGTGGAAGCAAGGAAAAAGCAAAAAACAACAAGGTCCCAGGCCCGGATGGAATACCAACGGAGTTTTATAAAAACTGTCAAAACGCAATCGATGAACTGTTACTCCAAGTCCTCAATGATGCACTGTTAGAAGCAGAAATTCCCAAATCCTGGACTGAAACCATTATTACACTCATCCCTAAAGAAGACACAGACCCTACACAAGTTAAAAATTACAGGCCGATCTCACTGCTCAATGTAGATTATAAACTCTTCATGTTGGTTATAACGCAAAGACTGAAAACAATTATTCATAAATACATACATACAGATCAGAACGGTTTTGTTCCAAGAAGACAGATCAAAAACAACATAAGAACAATTATCAACGTCTTGGAATATTATGAGAAAAGAATCGACAAACAAGTAGCCTTAATCTTCTTAGACGCACAAAAGGCCTTTGATAATCTAAATTGGAACTTCCTCATATTGCAACTAGAAACTATGGACTTTGGTGCTAAATTTTTACATATGATTAGAAGAGTATATTCCCTCCAAACGGCCAAAATTATGATTAATGGAGATATGACTGAAAATCTGGATATACAAAAGGGTGTGAGACAGGGCTGCCCTTTATCCCCACTATTGTTCATAATTTCATTGGAAATATTACTAAATGAAGTCAGGAAAGATGCCGAAATAAAAGGTTTGAGAACACGGAAAGAAGAGTACAAATTGCAAGCCTTCGCTGACGACGTGGTATTTATAATGGAGCAACCGGAAATAACAGGAACCAAACTTCTAGCGAAGATAGAGGAATATGGAAGAGTCGCAGGGCTTAAAATTAACAAACAAAAAACTAAAATATTAACAAAGAATTTGACAAAGGTACAAGAGACAATACTAGAAGACAAATTAGGAATACAAATTGTAAAGAGAATAAAATATCTAGGAATCTGGCTTACTGCTAAAGCAATAACAATTAGAGAAGACAATTATAATAAATTAATGAAACAAATTAGAAAAGACCTGGAAATGTGGAACAAATTACAACTGTCATTCCTAGGGAAAATTGCATCCATAAAAATGAATATACTGCCTAGATTACTCTACCTCTTTCAAGTAACCCCAATCTGGCCAGGAAAGAACTTTTTTAAGGACCTTAATAAAATAATAACAAAATTTATTTGGAATGGGAAAAGGGCTAGAATCAAAATAAAATGTATGCAAGATATTCGGGAAAAAGGAGGTTTAGGCCTACCGGACTGGGAGTTATACTATAAAGCAGCGTCGTTGAACTGGATAAGGGACTGGATACCTTAAGAATAAAAGAATGCTATCACTAGAGGGCTTTGAATTACAACGCGGATGGCATGCCTTTCTGTGGGAGGGAAAGGACAAGCATCACAGATACTTTCAGCAACACATTATCAGAGAATCATTGTACAAATCATGGCAAGAGATTAAGAAACATTATACTAAGATCCCACGATGGCTATCGACAATGGAAGCACTAATATATCCCAACGCCATGGATATAGAGAAAATGAGGACTTACAAAGAATTACTGAACAGTGAAGGAGAATTACAAACAAGACAAGAATTACAAAATCAGGGTATAGACATTGATTGGTGGCCATATATGCAAATAGAATCAAGATATAAAACTGATCGGGCACAATTCGGATTTCAAAATGAACCAAATGAATTGGATAAAATATTACAAAGTACAGATGAGAAAATGATTACCAAAATTTATAAGTACCTATTAAAATACAAATTAGAAGAGGAGGTTGTCAAAGAGAATATGATAATATGGGCCAAAAATATAGGACATACTATTGAATTGGATAAGTGGGAGAATCTGTGGAAGATAAATTACAAGATGACATTGTCTATACCCTATAAGGAAAACCTTTACAAAATGTTCTACCGATGGCACCTCCCACCGGCGCGCCTAGCCAAGATGTTCCCAAATACATCTCCGATGTGCTGGAAATGTAAATCACAGAAAGGGACATATTATCATCTCTGGTGGCTATGCCAAAGGGCAAAACAATACTGGCAACAAATTAAAACAATGATTGAAGAAATCACGAAACAAAAACTGGAAATGAGGCCGGAAACCTTTTTATTGGGAATAATCACAACACAATATACCAAAGAAATAAAATATTTGATCATCCATATCCTCACAGTAGCACGTATACTCTTTGCCCAACATTGGAAATCTGAAGAGTTACCCACAGAAGACAAAATAATAGCTAAAATTACAGAATGTGCAGAATTGGATAAGCTCACAAAAGAAATACAGGAGAAAGATGATACTGATTACTATTTAATATGGCAAAGATGGTACAACTGGCTGGAGGCAAAAATAGGAATATAAAGATGATTTTCGAGTACTCAATAGAAATGCATAGAAGTAAATAAGGAGTCAATTATATATGTACATATATAACTAAGTAAATAGGTGACTGTAAATATTGATACAAATAGAAGTATGAAAAATAACCCACCGTTGTAATATCTTCTAAGAGTCAGTCAGTGGACTGAATTGATGTGTGTTCGTTTTGTATGTTGTTTCAATGTATCTATGTTGGTTTTGTTTTTTTCTTTTTATTATTAATAAAAACTATTAAAAAAAAAAACTATGTCATACTGGAATTCAATATAATGCAAACACAAGCAATAGAATATAATCCAATCAGTGTCTTAAACTTTAAAAGAGCTGATTTTAACAAACTCAGAGAAAGCCTAAGCAAAATTTCATGGAAAAAAAATCCTAAAGGGGAAAACAACTCAAGAAGCGTGGGAAACATTGAAAAATATGATCATAAAAGCCCAGCCCAGCCCAGCCCAACACAATACCACAGAAAAACAAGAAATCCAAAAAGAAACCAGCATGGTTGCACAAAGAACTCTCTGATAAACTGAAAGACAAAAAGGATAAGTAGAAAAAATGGAAAGAGGGACACATAACTAAGGAAGACTATCAGCAGATAGCCCGAATCTGCAAAGATGAAGTCAGGAAAGCAAAGGCTCACAATGAACAAAGACTTGCAACAAGAGTCAAAGATAATAAAAAAAGTTTATTTCAACATATAAATAACAAGAAAAAAGTCAAGGAAACAGTTGGTCCACTAAAGGGAGAAGATGGCAAGGAAATAACAGGCAGTAGAAAGAAAGCAGAGCTGCTTAACTCATTCTTTGCATCTGTCTTCACAAAAAAGAAACTATAGCCCAATCTACCAAAAACATAACTGTAAAAGACAGACTAGAAATAAAAATTAAAATAAGCAAGAAAATGGTAATAGAACACCTGTCTGACCTTGATGAATATAAATCATCTGGACCTGATGGATTACATCCCAGAGTTCTGAAGGAGCTGGCAGATGTTATCTCAGAACCATTGTATCATATCTTTAAAATATCTTGGAGCACTGGGGAATTACCAGCTGATGTGGTTCCCATCTTCAAAAAAGGGGGAAAAAACCAGACCCAGGAAACTACAGAACAATCAGTTTAACATCAAAATCTGGGAAGATACTTGAAAAAATAATCAAAAAACAGATCTGTGAATATCTAGAAACAAATAAAGTTATAACTAGTAGCCAGCATGGGTTTGTTAAAAACAGATCATGCCAAACCAATCTTATTTCATTCTTTGACAAAGTGATATACTAGCGAAATGCTGTAGATATAGTATATTTAGACTTCAGTATTTGGCAAGTAAACCACAACCCACTTCTTGATAAGCTAGAAAAATGTGGGATAGACAGAATCACCACCAGATGGATTTGTAACTGGCTGACAAACAGTACTCAATGAGTATTCCTTAATGGTATTAAATCTACACGGAGGGAAGTAAGTAGTGGGGTACCACAAGGTTCCATTTTAGGCCCAGTCTTCTTCAATATTTTCATAAATGGCTTAGATGAGGAAATAGAAGGGGAACTCATCAAATCTGCAGATGACACTAAGCTGGCAGGAATAGCCAACACCTCAGAAGACAAGCTCAGGATCCAAAAAGATCTTGACAGACTTGAACAATGGGACCTATCCAACAAAATTAATGTGGAGAAAAGCAAGGTTTTACACCTGGGCAGGAAAAACCAAAGGTACAAGTATATATTAGGTGAAATCTGGCTCAAAAACAGTAACTATGAGAGGGAACTTGAAATCCTAGTGGACAATCACTTAAACATGAGCCAGCAGTGTGCAGCAGAAGCCAAAAAAGGTAATACAATCCTTGGTTGTATAAACAGATGCATAGAATCAAAATTACATGAAATATTAGTATCCCTTTATAAAGCCTTAGTAAGGCCACACCTGGAATACTGCATTCAGTTTTGGACACCTCATTACATAAAAGATGTTGAGACTTTGGAAAAAGTTAGCAAAGAAAAGCAACTAAGATGATTAAAGGCCTGGAGACTAAAACATATGAAGAATGATTGCAGGATTTGGGTTTGGCTAGTCTAGAGAAAAGGACTAGGGAGCACATGGTAGCAGTATTCCAGTATTTGAGAGGCTGCCACAAAGAGGAGGGGGTCAATTTATTTTCCAAAGAATCACAGGGCAAGACAAGAAACAATGGGTGGAAACAAGAAACAATGGAGAGAAGCAACCCAGAATTAAGAAGAAACTTCCTAACAGTGAGGACAATTAAGCAGTGGAACAGCTGCCTTCAGAAGTTGTGGGTGCTTCATCACTGGAAGTTTTTAAAAGAGACCGGACAGTCACTTGTCTGAAATGGTATGTGGTCTCCTGCTTGAGCAGGGCGCTGGGCTAGAAGACCTCCAAATTCCCTTCCAGCTCTATTGAGATTGAGGTTACTTAGTAAAAGTGTTAGGAAAAATTACTGAAGCCCAGTCAAGCTATGTAGCTTCCTTATCTTCAAAACAGATTTGGCAAGACCGTTTTTTGTATCTTTACGTGAATACTTTGCTTACCAACCATCTCATAGTCTGTAAGGTGCTTAATACCAGAGAACTTGGAAACAGAAAATCAGTCTGTCTTTGGGATATTGCAGCTGAAGCTCCTATTTCTCCTTGTTCCATAGATGGCCTTGAGGATACCGGTACTTGGACTTTTAACAGGCTTATTGCAGATTCATACTACAATTTCTTTTGTAGAAATCTGATAATTCTTTCTTTGCAACATTTCAAAATATAAAAATGTCAGTTGCATATTGGAATGTGATACAGATAATATTTTGTTCCCTGCAGTAAGTACAGGTTGCCTGTTTTTGAAGAAGATGAATTCACTTTCTTGAATAGTGTATATATTTTTTTAAGTTTTCAGCTAAATAGGCTTGTTTTTATAGAGGATCAAATGAGAACATTAAAATTCATAAACTATTTTATATCAAGTGAATGCAGATCTATGTCCCCCAAAGGCAGAGTTACTGTTTCTTCACTGATCCTTCTTGCTGTCATCACCACAGCATAAGGCATTCTGCAGTGTTCAGCACAGTAGGATCTCTCTGTATGTGGAACAGCTGCTTTTTAGAACTGTGAAAGAAAAGGGGGAGGGAAAAAGTGGTAAATGAAATACTTACTTTCTTGAAATGCCCTTAAATGATAACAGTTAGGACATTTAGCACCTTTCACTACATCTGTTTTCACACCGATTTTGTATATATGTGTGTATGTGTGAGAGAAAGAGCAAGAGAGAAAGTGAGAGAAAGATGAAAGCAGATATAAAATCTTTGTAGTAGTGGAAAAATATTCACAAAAATAAAATATTTTTTTCAAAAGGTCTATATTTGTTAGCAGAAATATAATGGAACAAATGTTAATGTTTGAATGCTGTCTTGCTTTTTCTGTAATAAATTCAGATTTTAAAAAATAGAAATAGAAAATAGGGAAAATGTCAGATGCTGAAAGCATTTTGAACTATGAAAATTGAATATTATTTTCTAAGCCATTTTTAGTGCTAGAACAGAATCTGCTAGAACAGATTCTTTTGTTGTTTCATGAATAATGGTCAAATATTTATATGTGCAATTAGGATGCTTATATTATGGAGGAAAGGAAAAATTCAGAGCTCTGAGGGGAGTGTTCAATTCTTAAGATGAAGCACTATGACAGATTGCTACGTATGAAAACAGCAAACAGCAGTTACTTTACAAGCCAATTTAAAAGGAAATTAGAAGTTTCTGGTATATCTAGGTTATTAGTTGATCACCTATAGACTATAGCATGAATTTGTGGATTGATTCATTCTAAATATAGTGTATGGTGTATAGGTCTTCTTATCCACTGTTCCTTCTATATTGGAAGGACAACAATATGTGTAGCAAGGTATAGGCTGGGACAATTTTAAAGTTAAAATTAATAAATAATTTATAAATCTCTTTAGGCATCCTTTTGTGTCCCATAATAAATTGTGTGCTTAATATACAAATCTGTTGATTGTAAAACTTTGCATAGGTTTCTATAACAAAAGAAGTGTACATTATTTTTTTACAAATTAAGCATTAATAATCAATTGTATTCTTTTAACCAAGGGTTTTCAGCTGGGCTGGACAGAAATGGAATTGAAGCAAAATTACAAGGTCAGATTTCTTGAAAACGCAAAGAACAGTGCATTCAAATAGGCTTTAAGGATACTTAAATTTGTTTGCTCATTTTGCTTCACATTCTAGTACTAGTTCTGTTAATTCTTTTATTTTTCCTCTTACCTCCTGTGGATTCCTTAGAGATTATTGGACCACAATAAAGTGCCTTTTTTCCCTTGAGCCCAGAGACAGATATCCCTGCTCTTACCACCAACTCCAGAATTTTTTTCCCTTCACCTAGAATCTCTGTCTTTCTGAATAAAGCAAGCCTATTTCTCTGCCCCTAAAGAGGTTCCAACTCATATCTACTTTCAGCTCTGCTCCTATTGTTGCTCCTTCCACTTCAGCATTGCTTACATTTCTTCTTTTCTTGGGATCTAGCTCATTAGGACTATGTGATCATTTTCATTCTTTATCTTGCTTACATCTTCTCTTTCTTGCATCTTCTTTTTTGGCCTTTTCCCAGAAGAGCTTTCTTTCATCTCTTTCAGCCATACTGTTTCCCTTTGTCCCAAAACAAAGCTTTTTCCCAAACAAAGATGGATCTGAGAAGAACCTTCTCTGCAACTCCCTACTTTTATGTGAGGCTAAAATGATAAACTCACCAAGAATCCCCTTTATTTTATCTGGGCAAGCATAAACTTGTTTTTCTTGTTTGGTCACATGTTCATAGCTATTGCATAGACATTTAAGTTGATTTTATATCTGGGAAATAGGGTGAATGTGGGGAATGGAAGTGCTTGCCTTGCCTGAGTTGAATCAGGGTTTGCCTGTTCACAGAAGATTGATAAATTTTCTGCTTTTTCTAACTGCAAAATTATTTTTTCCTGCATATTAAAAATTATCACTTTAACTTGGACAGAACTATGTTTGAAGAATTTGAATGATTTGTCATCACTTGATCTGATCAAGATGGATGATAATCTCTACTTCAAGACCACAGGTAATATTACATAATCTGTATCATCTGAATGTTCAGAATTTATTTTTTTTAATATTTTAATATTTAAAATGTGTATTTGGGGCATGCATTGTTCTCATAAAAACTGTGCCCTAGGGCAATGTGCAATTGCAAGACTTCACACAACTCTCAAGTCTCTGTTATGTGTCCAGTTCTTTCTTTCCATAATGACTGAAATTTGACAGTGTAGTTTTTGTCATTTTGTGTAAACACCTGAAAATTGTAATATCAGGCATAAAATAGACATAACATTATTTTTTAAAAAATCCACTAGAAAATATAAATCAGAAAAAATATAAGTGTAGCCACATTTATAGTGTCATGGTTTTGCCTATCATAGTACTACTCACTGCAACTCTCAGGTCTCAGAAAAGTGTTAACTGGGACCAACTCCAGTTACAAAACTTTGTTCCTGTTATGTATAAATGCCCACCGTTGTCTACCCCAGGTATGGCAAGGGTTAACAACACATCTGCCTAGATCCTCCCCTGACCCCTCCTTACCTCAGCTCCGCCTCCCAGGTATTTAAGACGTGGTCCAGAGATCCAGAGTTCACTTCCAGACACATACCTGTAATTGAAACATTGATTAATAAAAGAAATTGATTCACTGCATCTTGTATTGGAGTTATTGGGTAAGATCCTAGAAATAAGTCACAGTTCCTCTTTGTCTTAGAGTGTTCCATAAATTAAGGGCAGCTTCTTAATAAGATGTTTGGATTACAAGCTAGGAAAATTGGATAAGGGGCCAGAAACTTGGGACTTTAAGTCACTGTCACATAGCAATAGCAATAGCAATAGCACTTAGATTTATATACCATTTCACACTGCTTTACAGCCCTTTCTAAGTGGTTTACAGAGTCAGTATATTTCCCCCAACAATCTGGGTCCTCATTTTACCAACTTTGGAAGGATGAAAGGCTGAGTCAACCTTGAACCATTGAGACTCGAACTGCCGAACTACTGTATGTATGAACTAGTAGTATCTAGACTCATCTTCCTATGGAAAACTACCACTGATATTCACATTTCTTCTGAGGATCATGGAAATCAACCAGAAAATTAACCAATAGACGAGCATAAGCAAACAGTCCCCCCCCCCAGATTTGTAGAAAGGCATGATTATAAGGCAAATGCAAATACTTGCCCTTTCTCTTTCTTGCTCTTAGAGGGGGCAGTATTTCTCAGAGTTTTGCGCCATAGAAGAATTTTCTGAGTTTTTTCATACGTACTTGGGAGTGTGGAAAAATCATGAATATTTTTGAATGTTGTATAGTTTTAAATATATACTAAACATATATTGAAATATATACTAAACATTTGGCAATTAGAAGGCTAGTTAATAGATTAGACCATATTTTATGGTTAAATCTGGTTTATTATATGTTCCCAGTCTATAAAAATGAGTAACTAAAAATAATTTGAAGTCCTTTGAGTTAAAATCAATGTCACAGAGTAACAGAGTTGGAAGATCCATTTAAACCATTGAGCCAAATCTTGTGCTTAATGCAAGAATCCAAACTGAAGCATCCTAAAACTGATGGCTGTCTAGCCAATCCAGTGAAGAGGAACCTCCCACCTCTTTAGATAATTGGTTCCAAAGGACAACTGGACTTACTATTAAAAAAGGGGTTTCCTATCATATGCATTCTTCAAACTTAAAGCTATTATTCAACTAGGAAAAATGTCTTTTATATTTCACTTATTAAAAATACTTAATTGTTTTATATATTTATTTTTTCTACAGAAACTGGACGACAGATGGCTTGGTATTATATTGCATTTGACACCGTAAAAAAGTGTTTCATGATTAACGGAACAGCAACTTTATCTGAACTGGTAATTTTATTATTCATATGAAGAATTAATACTCTTACAAATTAGCTGAAAACTCATTTATGGTTTCAGATTTTTGAAAGTTGCTTTTTATTGAAACTACATAATTCATACCATTTGACTTAGATCTGTGATCAGAGTTGTGTGCTGGAGGAGAAATGACTTGTAGTTCATTAATTATTGTGCAAGCTACTAGAATCGTACAGTTATATACAATTATCAGGAATGGCATTAAACTCTAATGCAAAATTATTGGGAAATAATCTGTTCAACTTGAAAATAACTTTTGTGGAATCACCAATTCTCTGTGGCTCACAAAAGAATGGTCTTTTTAAAGAAGACCGCATTACATTACACTGCATTACCAAATCATTATTTCTCATTGATAAGAATTCAGAAGTTTGTTATTGCTTGCGTCCTAGGGCTGAAAGAGAGTGATCGGCCCAAAGTCACCCAAGTGGCTTTGTGCTCAAGTTGGGACTAGACCTCATGGTCTCTTGGATTCTATCCTGATGCCTTAACTAATAACCAACCTGGCTTTCATATTAAAGTATTGTAATGTTTTTTCTAAAATTCTTGCTGCAGATGTCAAATCTTATTACATTTTAGACTTTAACAGTATATAAATAACTAATACTGAGTGGATACAACTTTTCATCTTTTTTGCCTTTATTATTTATATTATTTGTATACATTTATTGTGGTTCAGTTTAAGTACTTAGTACAGACTAGATAATGTGTATATTATGGATCTAAAGTCAATGTATTGTTGCCTATGTTTGTTTTTTTAATGTTTTTATATGCTATTAGCTGCTTAGAGTCATTGTGGTAAGTTGGGGGGGTCATACATACTGAGTCAATCTGGACAAAATACACCTAATCTGTCCCCAATTTCTAAATGAAAAATTAATTTCCTAAAAAATTGGGGGAAGTTATCTGTTTTGCTTAGGCAATTTGCTTGTTAAATATTTATCCTGTGGAGCAATTAAATTTCACTTTGCTTTGAAATGTCACACATAATTTTCCTTGTATTTGGGCAATATTTGGACTAAAAACCCAATGAAAGAAATATGAAAAAGCCTTTAAACTGTTTTTATGTTAGGGATTTTGTGCTGAAGCATATTGTTTGAGAATCAAGCAATATATGAAACAATAACTGTAAGTGGGATATTTAGACTATTTTATTTTTTTAATGATATATAACATAGAAAGTCACTTTCTGTCAAAACAGACAAACATTTTTTATTGCTTTCCTTGTTTGTCTATGGTGGGGTTTTGTTTTTTTTTCATTAGACCATTGAGATGCTATTTTGCAACAATTCACTGAACCGTGAATTTTGGTATTTGTGTGGTAGCAATGGGATTATATATCAATGAAATTTAGTTCCCATTTAATTTTGAATGTATTTGATGTTACATAATAAATAAATGTTTATGATGATGCCATGCCAACTGTCGCTGTATGATATTATCCTGATTTTCAGAAGTGTCAGTCATACTTTGCCAGTCTGTTTATAGGAAAAATTTAAAGTATTCAATGAATTAAGTAATGAGATAAATTAATATGTAAAGCCAGGTTTTATCCTTATACTACAACTGTTATAAATATGAACCATTTATTTATACACCTTATATGTCCTCCCATCTCACTGCAATGACTATAGGTCAGGGGTGTCAAGCTCGATTTCATTGAGGGCTGCATCAGGGTTGTGTTTGATCTCAGGGGGCCAGGGTATGTGGCCAGGGTGGGCATGGCCAGCTCAACATTACTCATGTCGGGGGTGCCTGTGGTGGTCCAAGCATTCTGCCAGTGAAAACAGGCTCCCGAGCTCCGTTTTAGTCAGCAATGGCCTCCTGCAACCCTCTGCCAGCAAAAACAGAACTCAGGAGGGCCGCCCCCAACTCTCACAAACTCCATTTTCGGCTGCAGTGGCCTACTGCAACCCTCTGCCAGCAAAAACACAGCTCTGATTTCCCTGGTAGAGCCACAGCGGGCCGGTCTTTACTGTTTCCAGGGCCGCCCCATGGGCCAAATTTAAGCACCTTGCAGGCTGGATCTGGCCCGTGGGCCTTGAATTTGACACCCCTGCTGTAGGTGGTATACAAAGTTAAAAACAACAATTTAAACAACTTAAGTCATAAATGCTGGAGGTCATAAACAGCTACTCCAACTCATAATAAAACAACAATAACTGTCAGAGCTTGTTTAACCTCTTGGCTGAAATGCATGAGATGCTTTTAAAAGCAGATTCTTTGCTTTTTAGGGTGTTACATACTTGGGTAGGGACTTTGTTAAATGTACCCAATATGTGGTATCTTGATACTTAACAATTTAGATAAAATTAATAAATAATTAAAAAAACAGCAGCAATATAAGCAATATATTTTATTCTCAAATTTTGGTTTGTAATTTCTCACTACTCAACACTAACCCATATTACAAGAATGTATTATGTTTCCTTCTCCTGCTGCATATTAAAGTGTCCAACTGTATTCCAGGAAAAACAATAGACTATACTTCCAGGCTTAGTAATAAAAACAACATTGTCCAATGCATGTCTGTTCAAAAGTAAATTCTACTGAGATCAATGCATTCTGTTTTCACAAAAATATGGATAAGCTAAACAATATATAAAAATAATAACCACAAATTTAATAAATGCTAAATAATACCTCCATCAAGTCTTGCGAACTATTAAAACTAAATTGCCAGAGATAATTCTGAACCTATTTCTCTGCAATTACAACCAAGTAATTAGACAATTTTTAAAATAAGTGCTTAAAATATATTGAAATAAATAGAACAAAAATAGAACAAAATTAATGAAAGAAACTATTGCAGGTTGTATTGATATCTGGTTGCAGTGAATTTTCAGACATCAAGTTAAGAACAAATGAGAAAAAAGTACTTAATTCCTTGAACAAAGATAAGAAGTGGATGAACATAAGGTATAAGATTAAAATTATTTTTGACTAAGTTATTTTGATTACAGCAACATTTTTGTCTTCTGCATAATGTACAGTATGTGCTTAAAACCTATATATTAAGTTATTATAAATTCTGTCCTACTTACAATTAATTCTGTTTCACATTGGAGATGTCAGTGCCTGGGCAAAGACTTTCCTCGTCATGTCCTTTACCTGCTATTCCGGCAAGAGCCCCAAATTCAGAAGGACTTCCAGATTGCAAATCTACTATTGTTGGGGGAATACAATCCCATCAAGAATCTATGATAGTATTTTTTTGGAATTAGTAGGCTTTAACCCAAAATTGCTTGGATTGAGTCTGAATCTGTTTTTCCCCTACTAAGTCTCCAAACACCGGGTCATAACTTGTATCAGATCTCATATTTGGTAGATGATACAAATTTGTATCATTCACATGTTGATATTGTCTCACTGTGAACTGAAAGCAGATTTGCATGGATATTAAATAACATTAAGGAAAGGACTGAACTCTGGGATTCTTTATACTGGAGGGACCAACCTGTTGCTGCCAACACAAAATGGTACCTACCTATGCAGACAGCTGGTCATTGTCAAAATTGAACAGCCCTCTCTCAACAGAGGGATATGACATCATTTATCTCTAGTATACGACACAGTCCTTTCAACAATTCCAAGAAGGCTCCATTTACACTACTCAGGTGACCCTGAGGACACATATAAACCTCCAGGTAGCCTCAACGACTCTCTAAAAGAATGCAAATGACCAGCTGTCTGCAAGGAGTATAAATCCTTCCATTCCCCACCAGCCAGCCAGAGCTGAAGAAGCTTCCAGGATGAGAAGCAAAATGTCTTCAAAGAAAAAGTAGAAAGTCCATGTGCCTCTTGAAAAATCACCTTTGGGGTGATTTTGACCTGGATGACTGAGAATCTCCATAGACAAATAAGGTAGATAAGCAAGCCTGCTCTGCTGATTGTATCACAAAAGAGTAAGCTCAGATGTCCAATTGTACTCACCCCAGGAAATGTCCAAACATCTCTTTACCTGTTTGAGAGCTCTCAAAAATGAGGAGTTCACTGGGATCAGAGGGTGGGGAGCCATACCCATTAGAGCTTTCAGTGTTAAAATGTGCACATTTGAAGCTGTAAACTTTGGAGAAAATTTATTTTCCCAGAGATTGGCAAACCCCATCTCAAATCCACATAGCCAAAACTGAACAGCATAATTCAAGAGCATCTGGAGGGTCACAGGTCTCATAAACCTGCTCTGAAACTATAATTCTACAGTAATATAATTATAAATAAATCTTACTGAACTCTTATTTATGTGTATGATACCGCCATATCTTCTTGATAATGAGAAATACATCTCATTTTATGTTCTAAATTAATGCCATAAATTTAGTACAAGTAAATAAAAAAACCGTATATTTTATGTACAGATATCCAATGGAAGGAAAAATAAAAACAAGAGAAATGAAAGTAAACTGGTAATTATTATATATAATATATTATTATTATTATTTTAAAATAGTAACAAGGATTATTGGTGAATTATTGTATGGTATTTCCTTATACTCCACCCTCTCTAGATTTTATCTAGAGCTGTGGTGGTGCAGTGATTATTATTATTATTATTATTATTATTATTATTATTATTATTAATTAAATTTTTCTACCGCCCTTCTCCCGAAGGACTCAGGGCGGTGAACAGCCAGGATTAAAATACATACAATATGAAAATTAAAATAATTTAAAACATAATTAAATCAATTTGGCTTCCCCCATTTAAAACCCCTTACCCATAAAATTAACTAGTTAAAAATTCTAAGAATGTAGTACTGCAGGCTAATTTGGCTGACCGACGGCTGCCAGGAGTTTGGCAGTTCAAGTCTCATGGGCTCAAGGTTGACTCAGCCTTCCCTCCCTCCGAGGTCGGTAAAATGAGGACCCAGATTGTTCGGGGCAATACGTTGACTCTGTAAACTGCTTAGAGAGGGCTGTAAAGCATTGTGAAGCAATATATAAGTCTAAGTCCTATTGCTTTTTTAAAAAATCAGTGGATTTACTGTTTATGATATTTACACATTTGTGTTTTCGATATTTTGAAAATTTATAACTTCTTTTTCAGTCTTATTCAGGCACAATTAGGATGCATTCCCATACAAGATTTCACCTTGACGCAAGATATAGGAAACATTTTTAGAAATGGCATAAGACTTACAAAATGTATGGTAAAATTTAAAATTACTCTTTTCCTTATATATTTGCTTACAGCTAATCCTTGTTTAGTGACAACAAATGGAACTGGCAACTCAGTTATTAAGTATAGTGGTTGCTAAGTGAAACAGTGCAATTTTACAATTTTCAGTTTTTCTTTGTGTTACAGACCTACATAGACTGGACACAAAGGTTTTTTTTGTAATTACCATCTTAACTGGAGATGGTCACTAAATGAGGCAGTCACTAATTTAAATTTCTTGGGCCACTTATTTTCTAATAAGTTTGAGTGATTTATAAGAGTAAAAAAGAGAAGCAATGTATTTTAAAGAATAATAATAAGCATACATCCTGCGATGATAGTTGTAATACCATCAAACATCCACATCTTCCTATTCCAGGTCCTTGAAAAGAATTCAACACAAAAATGCCAAATCCATCTGAACATCTGGCTGACTGTGCAATGAACCATATAATGTAATAATGATAATATACACGAGCATGTATTTTTTTCTACCTCTTCCCCTTTTTACACTTGTTTCTTTTCTTGTGTAGGGTTATCTGAATTTCTGGCTACCCATCAAAACAACTTTATTGTATTACTAAATGCTTTGATTTTAGCGAAGTGTTTCAGATGTAGACTTTGGGAAAATTCACTTTATGTATCCAAACAGCTAGAAAAAATTGGTAAGTACCATAAAAATTATTCTATGTTTCAACTTGGGATACAATACAAATCATTTCAATCTCATAGCATAAAAAATAGTAGGATAGAATTGTTTTCTTTTTCCTCAGATTTCTTGTCCTCAGATTGGACAATGCTCGAGATATTGAGGAAAATTTAAATGCAGGAGATGTGTGCTTCATGTTACATTAAATACCACTTGTGAAAATGTTCAGAATCCATGCATGTTTTTTCGATCTTGCTTAATTAATATGCTGCTTAGCTTTATAAAAGGAAGCGGCAACAGTGATGAGAATTTTGTATAGCAGTATGTTATACATTAGGGACATGGTTGCTCAGTGGCTAAGACACTGAGTTTGTTGATTGAAAGGTCAGCAGTTCAGTGGTTCAAATTCCTAGTGCCACATAACAGGGTGAGCTCCCATTACTTGTCCCAGCTTCTGTCAACCTAGCAGTTTGAAAGCACATAAAAAAATACAAGTAGAAAAATAGGGACCACCTTTGGTGGGAAGGTAACAGCGTTCATGTGCCTTTGGCGTTTAGTCATGCTGGCCACATGACCACGGAGACGTCTTCGGACAGCGCTGGCTCTTCAGCTTTGAAACGGAGATGAGCACCGCCCCCTAGAGTTGGGAACGACTAGCACATATGTGCGAGGGGAACCTTTACCTTATGTTATACATTAGAAGTACAAATTGCAAAATAATATTGAGGATGATGCCTACATTTTCTCTTGTTTTTTTAAAATATCAGATTTTTAAAAAAATTACAGGTAATACTTGCTTAACAACCAAAATTGGGATTGTAATATTGGTTGTTGAGCAAAGCAGTCATTAAACAAGACACCCACATGACTGCTTTGCTCAATGATTGAAATCCTAGCACTTTCAGTTGTGGTCATTAAGCTACCTCTCAAGTTATAAAGTGGATGGAGAACCACCACACCATGCTCCAGCTGGATATTGTTGGTGTTTTGGACTTTGACAACAATCTCTGCTGTTGTTGTCTTTTTTTCTTATTACCCTGCACTTCAGTCTAAAACACCTCCAGGGATAAAGCACCCAAACTGCAGTCTAGTCAAACCTCACCATCATTAAACCAACAGCTGCAGCACCCTGACAGATGACCATTTTGAAATATATTTCAGAGTAGATGCTTAATTTGAATGCTATTTTATATTTTCTTACTAGTAAAAAAGATAAGTTATGAAGAAATGCAATTTGACAAATTAATCTTTAGCATATTTCCATTTTCAATAGGTATGAGTTTATCAAATGCAATGATGAATGCAGGATTGACGTCCTTTAAAAAAATAGAAGATACAAATGCAAGAGAGCTTGAATTGGTATTTATTTTATAATTTTTATGTTGTGTGTTACATATACTGTTCTATATTTACTCACATATCTGATTTGTATTCTGATGTTTTCTAAATAAATCATATAAATATCTTGAAGGAATGCACAGCTGTTTTTCCAGTGAAATGCGTATTTCCATCTGCAGAAATGGTAATAAGGGAGCTCTCTTTCCTCTATAGACTTCCCTATACTTTCAAAAACTACTCCAGATTTTTTTTGATAAGCCTGTATAGGGAGGAGAGGTAGAAAAATGCCTTAACACAAGAGACTTTCTACTACACTAGATTCATTCTGCCTGAGACTATATATAATATTCTAGAAAAAATGTTTTGAATCTTAATATAAGCAGTATTTATAACATTCTATTGCCAGGAATTCATAGTTTTTTCAAGTCTAGATACTAGTGTAGTAAGGTATCTAAGGTGAGGAAAACAGAAAACAGAAAAGGAATTAATACTGCCAGAATTGCAGAATCATCTGTAACTGATAGGTGAACAAATATGTAATTACTTGTTATAGCTGTAGTACACAAACATAGTGTTTTTACCATTCTTATTTCATTTGATAAATTCAAACAGTGGATAACTGCAATTGGTGGTGGGAGAGGACTGGAAATGGAAGCTGAATGTACGAAAAAATAAAATAAATAGAAGGTTGAATATGGGAAGTTTATTTAGAAGTTTATTTAGATTATCCTGAAGACATATCCAGATAGCCAGTTTTGTGTCCTGTCCTCCAACTTGTAAGATGAGATATAAAAGGTCAGAATGTATTTGCTCTATTTACATAGCTAGTCTTTACTCTGCCTCATTAATAAAGCTGGAGAATTGTGCTTAGAGTTTCCTGCTGGGCAAGTTAGATTTTTTTTTTATTTGATTTATATGCCGCCCTTCTCCGGAGACTCAGGGCAGCTTACAATGTGTTAAGCAATAGCCTTCATACTTTTGTATATTTTTATACAAAGTCAGCTTATTGCCCCCACAAACTGGGTCCTCATTTCACCTACCTTAGAAAGGATGGAAGGCTGAGTCAACCTTGAGCCTTGGAGAGATTCGAACCAGCAGTAATTGCAGGCAGCTGTGTTAATAACAGGGTGCTTAGATCACCCTGGTCTAAGGGACTAAGATTGCAGGGACTATTAGATTTTATTCCCTGACCAGATTGCTGCCTCTAACCAGACTTATGGTCATGGGGGATTTCAACCTGCCATCCGTGGGTGAGATGTCGGAGGTGGCTCGGGAGTTCATGGCTTCCATGACAGCTATGGACCTGACCCAGTCAATTCATGGCCCTACCCACATAGGGGGAAACACACTGGACCTGGTTTATGTCTCTGGACAGTGGTTGAGTGACCTTGAGATAGGGGACATAGTCACCGAGCCTTTGTCATGGTCGGATCACTCTCTCCTTTGCCTTGACATTCGAACCACTATACCCCGTTGCAGGGAGCCGGAGCCGGTAAGATGGTTCCGCCCCAGGCGCCTGATGGAACCTGATAGGTTCCAGATGGAACTTGGGCCATTTCCTGAGGCTCTGGCACACGCCTCGACTAGGGACCTAGTGGCCGCCTGGGATAGGGCGGCCGCTGGAACTCTGGATTGGGTCGTGCCTTTGCGGCCTCTGACCCAGTGCCGATCTCACCTAGCTCCTTGGTTCACTGAGGAGCTGAGGGAGATGAAGCGCCAGAAAAGATGCCTAGAGAGTAGTTGGAGGGCCAGTCTTTCTGAATCCGACCGGACACTGGTAAGATCTCATATTAAGAATTACCTAGTGGCAATAAAAGCAGCAAAATGTACATATTTTGCTGCTCTTATTGCATCATCAGATAATCGCCCGGCCGCTCTGTTTAGGGTGACCCGCTCCCTGCTCCACCAGGAAGCGCGGGAGGATCCCTTGGAGGGTAGAGCCGAGGATTTTGTTCAATATCTGTATGACAAAATCACTCAGATTCGGGAAGATCTGGATTCCGACTGGGTAGTTCCAGGGGGGATGACTGAGGCAGGTCTTGAGAATTTTACCTGGGATGAGTTTGATCCTGTGACCCCTGATGACATGGACAGGATTCTGGGTGGACTGAACACGACCACATGTTTATTGGACCCGTGCCCCTCCTGGTTAGTGCTCGCTTCCTGGGAGGTGATGCGAGGCTGGCTCCAGGGGATTATAAATGCTTCGTTGGGTGAGGGTGACTTCCCCACTGCCTTGAAAGAGGCAGTGGTGAGGCCTCTCCTCAAGAAGTCTTCCCTGGACCTGGCAGTGTTGGCTAATTATCGTCTGATCTCCAACCTTCGTTTTGTTGTGAAGGTTGTTGAGAGTGTGGTTGCGCGACAGCTCCCCCAGTACCTGGATGAAACGACGTATCTGGATCCGTTCCAGTCGGGCTTCAGGCCTGGGTACAGCACGGAAACGGCATTGGTCGCGTTGGTTGATGATCTCTGGAGGGCTCGGGACAGGAGTTGCTCCTCTGTCCTGGTCCTATTAGACCTCTCAGCGGCTTTTGATACTATCGACCATGGTATCATGCTGCACCAGTTGGAAGAGTTAGGGGTGGGGGCACTGTATTACGGTGGTTATCCTCCTTTCTCTCCGACCGGTTGCAGTCTGTGTTGGCAGGGGGGCAGAGGTCAACCCTGAGGCCCCTCATATGTGGGGTGCCACAAGGGTCGGTCCTCTCACCCCTTTCGTTCAACATTTATGTAAAGCCGCTGGGCGAGATCATCCGTGGTTTCGGGGTGAAGTACCACCAGTACGCTGATGACACCCAGCTGTACATCTCCACCCCAGACCACCCCAACGATGCCCTTGAAGTGATGTCCCGGTGTCTGGACGCCGTGCGGACCTGGATGGGGAGGAACAGGCTCAGGCTCAACCCATCCAAGACCGAGTGGCTGTGGTTTCCGACATCCCGATATAGTCAGTTGACGCCATCGCTGACTATTGGGGGCGAATCGCTGGCCCCCACGGAGAGGGCTCGCAACTTGGGTGTCCTCCTGGATTCACGGCTGTCTTTAGAAGAGCATCTGACGGCCATGACCAGGAGGATTTTTCATCAGGTTCGCCTGATTCGCCAGTTGCATCCCTTTCTGGATCGGGACTCCCTACACACAGTCACTCATGCCGTCGTCACTTCCTGCCTGGACTACTGTAACGCTCTTTACATGGGGCTCCCCTTGAGGAGCACCCGGAGGCTCCAACTGGCGCAGAGTGCAGCCGCGCGGGTGGTTATGGGAGCAACATGGCGCTCCCGTGTGACATCTCTCCTGCGTGAGCTGCACTGGTTCCTGGTGGTCTTCCAGGTGCGCTTCAAGGTTTTGGTCACCACCTTTAGAGCGCTCCATGGCTTAGGACCTGGTTATTTATGGGACCTACTACCACAAACAGCCTCCCACCGGCCGGTACGTTCTCATACAGAGGGGCTCCTCCGGGTGCTGTCAGCCAAACAATGTCGACTGGCGGCCCCCAGGGCCTTCTCTGTAGGGGCACCCACTATCTGGAATGAGCTCCCCCCAGAGATACGGAGGATCCCGGATCTGCGCACTTTCCGCCGTGCTCTTAAGACCCTCCTATTCCAGCAAGCCGGCCTGGCCTAATTTTCTCCCCTGTTTTAAAATTCTTTTAAATCGAAATTTTAATCTGTTTTAAATTATTGGGATTTTTAATTGTCTCGGGCTAAATTATTTAATCTGGTTTTAATTATATTTCTAACTTTTGTATCTATGTATTTTATTTTGTGCCTGTTCACCGCCCTGAGTCCTTCGGGAGTAGGGCGGTATATAAATTTAATAAAAACAAAAACAAACAAAAACAAACTATGTCATCTATATGGATGGTGCCAAAATATCATAAATCATGCAAGGCTTGTATTAAGAGAAGATTAAAAACAGCATTTCCACATCTGTTTGTAAGAATCTGAAGTTAATTGTTTCAGTAATAGGCTGGGGAGGAGGGGAAATCTGCATCAAGATACATTTTTAATGAACATTTGACAAGACATTTTCAAGTCAGTGGTAGAAGTTTGTGTGGATGTGCCCTAAGCAAGACAGACAAACTGATACAAATTATCCCAAAATGCACTGTTGCCATGTTGATTGATTTAAAGAACAATACTAACAATGTAATGCTAGGAAGACTATGTTTTATAAATGGCTTTTATGCTTCGTTTAGCAAATATTGGTCTATGTTCTAAATTAATATAAATGCTGTCTGAATTTAAATTTCCAGATTTTGAACAGACATCCTCCTTTTGGAAATCAGATTAAAGAATCAGTAGCACACCTTCCAAAATATGAACTTAATATAGAGCAGGTATATTTTTGTTCTGTGTTCCTGCTACAAAATAACTGAATTGAAAAGAACTATCCTTCCTAATGTTTTGCAAATATTCATTAAATACATTTGTGATTTAGGTGCTGTACTAAATAATTGCCCAAAAATGTATTCAAACTACGGAGCCAATTGTTCATTATGATGTACTGGAATCAAATGTATTGGCTAGTACAGTATGGAGAGTGATAGACTAGAAAGCCTATAGTGAAGATTTCTAATCATAAATTGGAAAAATTGAGAAATTGAGTTCTGTGGCAAAAACAGCAGATGCTTTATTACAATGTAGCAAGATAACACCATTTGGTCATACTGTCTGCCTCATCACTAATGAGTGACATTTGCTCTTAAACTGTCTAACTCTGCATAGGATTATTTAATAATCCATACCATAGAATTAGCAAGAATGATGTAGGAACTAAATATAGCAATTACTTAATAGGCATCTCCTCACCACCCATGTTTTCTCCTGAGTTTGAATATGCCTTGCTTTTCTAAATGCTGGTTAATACCATTGTGTATACAATAAGGCAAGTGCCAGGGAAATTATACATGAGTGACAACATCATCAAAGAAATGCTACAACTAGGGGTGGCAAGACAGCAGTCTTCCAGTATTTGAGAGAACCTCACAAAGAAGAGGGGTCAACCTATTTTCCAAAGCATTTGAAGGCAAGGCAAGAAGTAATGGTTGGAAACTTACCAAACAGATATCCAACCTAGAACTAAGGAGAAATTCTTGCCATCAGCTTGCCTTCAGAAGTTGTGGGTGCTCCATCACTGGAGATTTTTAAGAAATGATTGGACAGCCATTTGTCCAAAATGGTATCGGGTCTCCTGCTTGAGCAGGGGTTGGACTAGAAGTCCCTTCCAACTTTGTTATTCTATATTCTGTAACATACGTATCAGTCTTTGGAGTCCAATTATGTAATGGTAGCATTGGGCAGAATGGCATCATTACACATGTGTCATAACATTGAAATAGCTTAGCATGGTATCTGACTCCAGCCAATATCAATCTATTCATATTTATTTACCATATCATATGCGAAAGCTAGTTTTATTTTTGAATTGTATGTCATTTATTTTCAAGCTGGCAAAGTACAACGAAGCAGTAGCTGAAATCATAGTGACAATCATATTAACCAATTTTGAACAGATGCAGATAAAAAGAACTGCTCCAGATTCTCATTATGCAACTCTAGTAATAGGAGATAATGATAATAATGTGGTTTTTAGACAAAGGATTATGTGAGTAAATTTAAATTATTTAGAAACTTTAACAATTGTGCATTTTTGTATATTTAATTTTAAGCTATTGATTTATTATATACTTGCAGGGATTCTGCTTTGCTGAAAAATGGAAACTGGACTAAAAAGATTGAAGTGAGAAGAGCTGTTAATTCTGATGAGCTTAATATAAATCTAATCAGTTCTGAATATGGTAAATTAATTTATGGATTTGGATTTTAAAAATAAGTCTACTAAGTTTTAAACTGAGAACCTCTTGGTTTTCATGTTTCTTAAATTATTATATGCTGATTTTACAGTGAAACTGCATTTCTGCTTTACGTTATATTGTGTCATGGAAAAAAGTCATCCAGTGAATTTGAACAAAAAGCAATGGAGATCTGAAACAAAAGTTATTTATTGAAATATCTTAAACAATGATCACCAAACTATCTGAGAAGCCCAACAACAGATTGACAAAGGTTGTCATAGGAGATAATAGCACATTTATATAACTGTGTTTTAAGAATGGAGCTTGGAATGAGGTTGAAGTTTATAAACTAGTTTAATCTAGTGGTTAAGTCTTTAGGCTAGAAACTGTGGAAATGTGACACCTTAGCCATGAAAGCCAAGTGGGTGACTTTGGACCAGTCACTCAGACCAAATCACCTCACATGGTGATTTTTGTGGGGAAAGTACAAGAAAGGATATTCATCACCTTGAGTTATTATATATATATTATATAATATAATTAGTATTTTATAATATTAATAACTAGAATTATTTTTACAGTGGCAAGTAAATATGTGTGTATAATATGTACGTTTTACTTAGTATATAGCTCCTAGATCATGTGGACCTGGATGTGGATCAAGTGCTATTATTACCTAATAGAATGTATACCTATATTTTCTTCCACTCTCTGCTGCCTTGTTGGAAGATAGAATCAATAGAAAAGAAAACATTGGAAAGAGAAAAAGTGAAATATATGTTTCAATATTTAAATTAGTTTTTAATCCAATACTACACTGTCACATACTATTTACCATACAAAATGCATCAGTAGTAACATTCTATTGGCAAGTAAGTAGGATATGCATTAAAATTAGATTTTCTTCTGTTCACAAATATATATGTGTGTATGTGTGCGTGTGTGTGTGTGTGTGTGTGTGTGTGTGTGTGTGTGTGTGTGTATAGAACAGAAATGGCATTATTGAGAAATGAACTCCATAACAAAAGGTTCTTATTAGATCAAACAAACAAGGATTTATTAACTCTGCATTTGAAAATAAGTAATAAGGTTCACCCTATTCTGTGGGTCAAAATAAAACTTCTGGCCATTTGGAGGGCTGAAACTGAGACCTTTTACAAAAGTAATAGACATCAAAAGAAATTTGAAAACTTAAAAAATCAAGGGAGACCCCCTAGAGTAGCACAGTACCATCTGAAAAAGGTAGTTTACAATGTTTCTAATAGAGAGCTGACTACAGCAGAAACAAGCGTCTTAACAAAAGCCTTTAATTTTTCAGTAACGCCCAAGAGAATTCCTATAGAAACAATAATATGTGAAGTGGAAGCCAGCTTAACAAAACTTAATGTTGAGGATGCTGATAAAATTAGGCATGAGGTTACTAACATTATCTGCACTAGTAAACCCCCCCAAAAAAACCTGCCCAGAGAAAAATATAGAGCATTGCAGGAACTAAGAAAGGATGACAGCATAATCATACTGCCCGCAGACAAAGGTAATGCCATGGTGATAATGAATACAGTGGATTACGACAAAAAGTTGCTCGAGCTCCTCCAAGACGTTACATATAAAACCTTAAATACTGATCCAACCACATATTTAGAAAAAACTACCAAAACCAAGATAAAGGCCAATCCCATAGATAAGAAGTTCAACAAACAATCATCCCTAGAGAGAAGTCATCGAAAACTCCAAAACTATATGGCCTCCCAAAAATACATAAAGAGGGCATACCTCTCAGACCCATAGTTAGCTCTATAGACTCTCCGCTACAAAACTTGGCTAAGTATTTAGCCAAACAACTACAACCGTTTGCAGAATCGATTGCTTCTTATGTGCAGAACTCATATCATCTCATAGACGTTCTGAGAAACCAATGCATAGAGCAGGGTGACCTACTTGTAAGCTTTGATGTGGTCTCATTATCCACCCAAGTACCCGTTATAGAAGCTCTAGCAACGATCAAAAATAAATACCACCCACCAAACCACATCATAAAATTGGCAGAGCATTGCCTATCTAACACCTATTTCATGTACAAAGGGCAAAGATATAAACAAATGCAAGGGACACAAATGGGATCACCGCTCTCCCCAGTTATTGCCAATCTGTTCATGGAGGGATTAGAAATTAAGGCGTTGGAACTAACTACTTATAAACCAAAATTATGGCTCAGATATGTAGATGATATGTTTGTGATCTGGACCCATGGAAAAGACAAGCTAGACAATTTTCTAGCACATTTGAATAACATGCATCCGAAGATACAGTTCACTATGGAAATGGAGATTGAAAATCAACTCCCATTCTTAGATGTATTATTATATAAGAGAACTGATGGCACCCTAGGACATAGTGTCTACCAAAAGAAAACACAGACAAATAGATACCTAAACGCACACTCACACCATCATCCCTCACAAAACTTTAATCACTAGAACTAAACATCTAGCTGGCACATGTACAAAAAGAGCTTCAGATTCTCACAGGGGTATTAATAACAAATGGGTTCCACGAAAATAAAATTAAAAGTATAATTCGACAAGGGACATTAGGACAGAGAGAAACCCAAGAAGAAGAACAGAAGATGGGAAAAGCCATCCTGCCCTATATAAAAGGAACCACCGATAAAATTAGCAAGATACTACAGAAACAAAAAATAAACACAGTGTTCTGCACAGATAGAAAAATATCAATGATGTTGAGAAACCCCAAGAATAAAATTGAGCTGGAAAATCAAGGAATATACGAAATACCATGTACCTCCTGTCAGTCATCTTATATTGGACAGACAAATAGACGAATAAGTGTGCGTTTAGAAGAACATAAAAATGCAGTGAAAAAGGAAGAACAAACTTCTTCTTTGGTACAACACATGAAGGCCACGGGACATAATATAGATTTCAACAAGGCTAGAACAGTGGTAAAAGAGGAACATCTTAATAAGAGAATAATTAGGGAGGCTATCGAAATTGAAAAGAGGCCGCAGAATATGAATAGACGAGATGACGCCTCTAGGTTATCAAGTATTCGGAAACCTGCACTGAGGGAAACTCGAATTTTAACATCAGAGGATAGGCAGAGATCCCAACAGGCAACCAGTGGTGTTGTAATGCATGCAAGAACCCTTTCCTCTTTGCAGTTGATAGCTAGCAATAGGGAGAGAGAGAGAACCAAGCCAGAAGATATGCTAAGAGCTCAACAGGCAACCAGTGGTGCTGTGATGCCTACTAGAATTCTTACCTCTTTGCATTTGACAGTTGGTAATAGGGAACCAGAGAAAACTGGACCGTTAACACGCATTCAGGCTGCAGCTAGTATAATAAAGCATGACCCACAGCTTCTAAATTGATAATAAAGGCCCGAAGATGACAAGGTAGCGAGCTTGTCAAAACGTTGCCTAACCTTTAAAGTGTTGGTTAAAGGATTTCAGCCAGAGTTTTTGAAAAGACCTTACAAAGGGTTTTTGTTTGGGAATTTAGAGGATTCTGAGCTGGGATCTTAGCCAGGATTTTATAATGACGCGGGAAAACACCCAAGATTTTAACTTTTTACATATATATATATATATATATATATGTATATGTGTGTGTGTGTGTGTGTGTGTGTATAAAATATACATACATACATACATACATACATACATACATACATAATTATATAATTTTCTTCCCTAATAGTTGGATTGGATATTCAGCAGAGATATAAACCATTTTACTTGGGACCAAAGAAGGTTGGAATCATGATCACTCATGGAAAACCTAATATCTCTCAGATATCTTCAATAGGGTCATCAAAATTAAGAACAAATAAAGGTAAACAAAAATTCCATACTAAATATTTATTGCTAGAAGCAGAATAGATTTTAGGTATGGTACATAAGTGTTTGATGTCAGAACTTGGTTTGGTGGTGAATAATGTATGACTTTAAAGGGTACAGGCCTACTTCAGAAGTTTTTGATTGCAGAATATTAAAATAATTATGAGAATTATGAGAAGAGTTGGCAAACAAGAAAAATCAATGTGCTTTTGGGTTTAATATTCAAAATGCAAATCCTACTTATTTAGTAGGCATTTGAAATTTGCCCAAGGTATTCTCTTTGTGATGATAAGTAGCACTAGAATTCTGACGGGTTTTTGTTGTTTTAAAGTTTGTTTCTAATACTTTAAATAGCATGTAACTTTGTTATGATTTTAGGCCAATTCATTAAAAATAATATATAAAATGGATCCCTAATGTATATGTATATGTATTTTGTTTTTTGAATCTGAATATTTTACTTAGTTTTTATTTAAATTGTAGGATCCTCAGATAAATTTTCCAGGCATAGCCTTAGTGAACACAGTGGGATTTAATTTGGTACAAACTTTTTAGAAACAGAATGTATACTTTATGTCTTATCCTTTTGTTCTGACATTGAAGTGTCAGTGTATATACACTTGTAAATTATGGATAAATTCACTTAAATTATAGTAAACGTTTAGTAGGCTTATCACCTACTAAGCACCTACTGTTTTCTACATGATCATTCTCAAATATTTTCTACACGTTCCTTCTTCACTTACATATTACCTTATAGAATTTGTGGAAAAAACAGTAAAATAATGTGCAAAGGCTGCAATTTTTCACTGATTACCATGTATTTGATTCTGATAGAAAGTTTAAAGTTTTTTTTCTTCTATGCCATCAAATTAACATAAAACAAAAGAAGCCACTTGTAGCCAAGAATCACTAAGCATAAAGAATGGAAATAGAAAATGCAATCACCACTGCAAAAATAAAGAAACATGTGGACATGATTGTTGTGAGTTTTTTTTTCTTATTGTAACTTATGAATGATACAGTTTGCATGTAAAGCATTATGAGAAGGATTCACTCAACCTCTTGAGTGTTGAAATGTGGACATGCTCATAAATGTAAACACTTTTAAAAGTGGCTATATTGGAGGAAGTTTTACATTTGGAACATGACAGATTCTTAACGGAGTACAACAGTGGTCCCCAATCTTTTTGGCAACAGCGACTAGTTTCATGGAAGACAATTTTTCTCTGGATGAGGGGTGATGGATGGTTTCATATGCAACCTAGATCCAGCACATGCGCAGATGAAGTTTTGCTTGCTCACCTGCTGCTCACCTTCAGCTGCACAGCTTGATTCCAAACAGGCCGCAGCCTGGTACCAGTCCATGGCCCAGGGGTTGGGGACTCCTAGCATACAATACATACCCAAAACCCACAAACAATTTAAAAAGATGTGCATCTGGATGAGTAATATTAAAAAAGAGACCAAAAATCAATAAAAATGAACAGATTATCACTGTAATTTATTCATAACTATGTTATATTCCTCACAGCTTCTGGGTTTTTTTGTCATTAAAAATGGATTTAGGAATTATTTAGAAATAATTCGTACATGCAATGTTGCCAATAAAATGGAAGTGGTTGGTTGTTGTCACACACGAGTTTATTTGAAACTTCTATGAATTATTTTTCTTTTGTTTGTAGTTTTCTGTAACAAAAATAAAATATAAATATAAAATAAAAATATATATTACATTTTTAAGGTAAAATTGGAGTTTCAGAGAAATCTAATATGAAGAATGAGTCAGCTTTTTCTTCATATCTTACTGACTTAAGAAACAGGAATGCTGAATCTGTCATTCCCCCAGTCAAACGACTAAAGGTATATGAATTTGAAAGAATTTGAGTGCCCTTTTAATATAGAATAACTATTTGAAATTAAGACCATTTTTGTTACTGAAATATAATATCTAAGGTTGAATATTTCCTGTGAAATAAGAAAAGAGGCGGAATATTATATTAACATTAAAAATGCCTACAAAAAAGATTAAGGTGACAGTACAAATTATTCCAGAAAAATTATTGGGAAATAAATGTTTTATAATCTTCTAGACCATTTATTTGGAATAAGTATAAAAGCTGATACCAGTATTCCACAGGAGGTAGCTTTAAAATGAAAAAAAAAAGTGCATTTTGGCAATATATGATTTCTTTAAACATTAGTAGCTAATTTGAATATGATCGTTCAATTGAATAATAAACTAAGATTGGATATTGTACATTATGCTACTTTTTGCAGACAAAAGTTTGACAATGCTTCTTGCCTGCCATCTTAGCAGGGTTTGGGGGATAACGTTTATACTCTGTTCTTAAGATTTTACAGTGCAATCATTTTTATTTCTATGGAATCGCCATCTAGTCTTCCCCTTTGCTAAAGTTAAACAAATTTACAAATTTCAAACTATTCTTCCCTTTTGTAGGAGTTTTTTTCCTACCATAAATTGATTACAAGTATAATAGTGAGTGAAATATAATAAATTATATTTCTATAATACATTGTAATAATAAACTATAAATAGATTTATAGCCACCCTTTGTTTGCTGAGATCTTTGCATAATTCAAAGCTGCCATTCACTAAAATCACTATCATTCCAAATCAATCCATTCCCATATAAAGCTCTTTTCATTGAAGGTTATGCCCTGTTATCTATTATGTTAGTTTAGTACATGTTAGTAGCAAGTCCCAAAGGTGCTTTTTTAAGAGGAAACTGGACTTCCTGGTTTTTCCTTCGAAGACATTTCACTTTTCATCCAAGAGCTTCTTCAGCTCTATATATTGGACTTGTGGAGGAGGATTCAAAGGGCCCACCTGCAACAAGTAATTCAGTATGTTGTACTCTCAGAAATGAACTTAACCATCTAATTAGAGCTGAAGAAGCTTCTTGAATGAGAAGTGAAACATCTTCAAAGAAAAATCAGAAAGTCCAGTTGCCTTTTGAAAAAGCACCTTTGGGACAACCATGACTTGGATGACTGAGAATCTCCATAGACATCTTGGCAGCAAGATAGTTTTCAGCTTCTGGATCGAAGAGAGAGAATAACAGGTCCAAAACATCACCCAGCTGGCTTCCGAGGGAGGATTAGAACTCCTTGTTCCTAATCTTAACCATAGAAAACTCTCAACCATAGATAAGTAGATCTCTCTCTTGCTCTACACACATATACAAAGAGCTATTTTCTACGATATAAAAATGTATCAAGTAAAGAAAATAATGTTCATATATAGTTTTTTTTATTAGTGATGGTTTCTCATTTTCTAGTTGTATACAAGAAACTAATATACGTGTACCTGTATATTATAATAAAAATCTTTTTCTACATTTTAGATGCAGATGTCAAATAAATCTCAAAAAGTCGATCTTAAACAATTTAGTTATATTCCAAAAGCTTTTCTTCCAGGATTGCCAAGGTATTGTAGTAACAGTAAGAGTCATCTATCATCATTGTCTTTCTTTATTTCAGCTCAAGATTGGTAAGACATAAATTAGAATAACTCTGGTACAATCCAAAAATATAATAACGTTAACAGTTTAATATATGACATACCTTTAATAAGAAATCTAGATTAGTAGCTTGATCACTATAGTGCAACATTTGAATGTTAAAACAATGATTTCAGGATGTTTGTGATTTATGAAAACTTCTAGATAAATAACATTGATCTGGGGGCAAGGCAATGTTTCCAAAAAGTGAATTAATTGACAACATAGTTCTGCATAGAATTTACATCTTAGAGAAACATATTCTAGTGTTTCAGTTTCACCTGAAACACAAGGGATTCCTTTATAACTGCCATCTATAACTGCAGAAGGAAGGGCATTAAAACATGCTTGTAAAATGAATATAGAATAACTTGAATAAATAGTATGCGGGTTATGGTTCTGTTGATTTACTGAGGAGACAACATAATCTGGGGGTGTTGCTAAATTACTGTATACTGAAGTTCAATATCTGGAAGAAATTAAGGGGCATGCCAAGATGAAGCGCTGTGTTAGTTATGACTATACTGTATATCATCTAAATTTAAACTCCTAAACTAGGAGAGGCAAAAGCCCCACGGGGGAAGATAGATAGAATTTAAGCCAATAACATACACATAGGACAGGAGGTATTTCTCAGAGGAAGGGCTAAAAACACAAGGCATAAAGGTCCTTCCAGTTGCCCAGCTAAAGCAAGCAGGCACCTATAACTGGGCAGTAGCAATTACAGGAAGATGCTGGAAATGCATAATTACTTTAGAAATAATGGCATCAAGTTGTACTGTGTAGGAAAAGGAAATTATTTGTTTTCTTTAATAATAATCTCAAATTTATTTCACTATAATATTGATTCTAATTATTTTATTTTTCTAAAGATTAGAACATGTACAACATCCAAGATCCCCTTTACAAGAAGACATCTACAGTTCTAATGTCTGTCAAACATTTCAACCAGAAACTGAAGTTCGCAAAATGAATGGTACATTTCTAATGATTCTTAACATTTATTTTACTCGGCCACAATTTAGTCACAGTTCAGTTCTTTTAATTCCTGTAGTTTCAATTATATAAATTAATTGCATTACGTATTTGGAACATCATGCTTCTTCACTTCATTATATGGTAACATAAAGAAATAACTGGGTTATCTTTATTATCCAAGAATATTCTTATTTCATAGATTTTTGACACCAAATAATACATTTACTGTCCAAGCCAGTGTCATAAGTATCTGAACATAAATGTTTCAGATCAGTATATAATAATTAGAAAAGCTTGTAAAAATAAATGCAATCAAATGCACATTTTATAAATAAATATCTGCTCCATATTAGAAACATGATACCTGCTTCCAAAAATGGTGTTGTGGATTTACTTGTCTTTGTTTAAATTGGATAAATTTATTATTTTAATCATGTAAGAAATTACATTGGAATATTATTGTTTTGTCAAATTTTAGGTTTCTTTGCTATCAAGCAATCTGATGAAAAGAATAACCTGACAATGAGCTCACATGAAAGTCTTGAAGAATCTTCAATGAGCAACTTGACTGATGCAGATAAAAGCATCTCTTTATTTTCTGAAACTTTGAATGTAAATTTTGAATTAGGAAATGAAATTTGGAATGATTATAATGATGAGAGTTTTGTACACAGCAATGCTAATATGCAGAAGTTAAAAAATCCAGGTAAAAATTAAATGTAGTAGCTAATTTTAGTTTAAACTATGTACTAATATTTTGTATATAAAATCTGCATTATTAGTTTCAGCCAAAAAAGAAAACCTCTCCAGTCACAAATACAGTGCAAAAAAATGTTTTTAACAAGGGGCTAAAATATTATTTTTGTTATATAAAAAGAGGTAAATAGAATAATAGAATACAGTTTCTAAAACATAACATAGCATACCCATAATGGCATGCCCGGATAATTCCGTAATAATTTGGAACACTTTGGAACACCAGATACACTTAATTGTCATATCTGATCTTTCTGTGTATTGATTTTATGAATATAGACAAGATGTTATGAGAAAGATTTACTTTGCAGTATATCACTGAGTAAGAAGTTAGATTTAAACCACAAATAAGCATTCTGTATGATTGATTAGCTTTTGTTTTGATAAAGATTCTGTTTTGCTTAACTGGTAACTAAATTGAAATATTAGTGTGAATATTTGACAAAAATGCAGATGTAGCTTTCCACTACCTTTTTACAGGATTACTTTTTACTTCCCAATTTAGGCTACAACTGTTTGATTTCTTTTATCAAACAAAGGCCAACCCCATTTATCTTTTTTTTCAAAATCAGCCAAGATTTTATTATAGTACGGTACTAAAATGATAGATATATCAGATCAATTTCAGTTATCTTTAGATACTATTTGCAAGATGTTTGGCATTATTTTTATGTTTTAGAATCTTCTCCCCTGAAATCCAGAAACACATGCATCCAGAATTTGAGAAAAAATACATCATTTTTCCAAAACACTGAGAAAAAGCCTCCTGGGGTACTTTTTAAAAGGTATCTATAATGTAATAAAATAACTACTTATGTATCTTCAGTTATGCTTGCATATACGAAGATTTTCAAATGTAAATCCCCCAGAGATACACTATCCCACTTGTCTTCTGGCTGTTTCTAACAGACTGCTTTTGCATAGGAAGATATGTTTATTATTTTTTAAAAAGGCCATTCTGGTTCACAAGTATAAGTTATATATGCACAAAATCTTTTCTGTATGCAAATATTTTCTCTTTAATGCAAACTGAATCATGGTATCAGATCAATCTTGTAAATAAAACTTCTGCAGAAACATCCTAAATATATTAAGAGTGGAATGCAGAGATGTATATATTTCCTACTGTTATTACGCACCTTCTTATATGTTTAGAATGAAAATGCTCCAAAATGTTACATAATTTATTGTGGTAGCACCTTGCTGTCTTTTAAAATCTTATAATCTTTTATTTTGCAGTATTTAATTTTGTTTTGGATTCTATTTCATTTTTTTAGTTATTCTACAGATAAAACAAAACCTGATATCTGTTTACAAAATTCTTACTCTCCTTCACTGACTCCTCCATCCAGTAGCAAATTACATATAGAATATGGAAATAAAAATATTGTAAGTGATATTTTTTCCCATTGCTTAGTTCTGTAGTTGATCTACTATGTTATGGATAGCAAGATGCCAGTCCATGGGACCAATGTGGCAGTGGTGGGTTTCACATTTTTTTACTACCGGTTCTGTGGGAGTGGCTTGATGGACGTGGCAGGGGAAGGATCCAATAAAATCTCCATTCCGTCCCCAACCCAGGGGAAGGTTATTGCAAAATCCCCATTTCCTCCCAATCAGCTGGGATTTGGGAGGCAGAGAATAGATGGGGGTGGGGCCAGTCAGAATCTTTACTACCAGTTCTCCGAACTACTCAAAATTTCCGCTACTGGTTCTCCAGAACTGGTCAGAACCTGCTGAAACCCACCTCTGCAATGTGGCCTGCAATGCCTTACATTCAGAGCCTACCTCCTCACATTTTTGCTAAAGAAGTATCCATTTTAAGTTTAACTAGAACATTTTATAGGGAGAAAAACATTGGGAAATATTATTTAACTTAGTGTCACTTTTGATACTTGGACCCTTGAGAAATGTTCTTAGTGCAATATGGCATAGAATCATCCTAGTATAATATTAGGCCTTCAGTTTATATTTCCAAGATTCAATTGTGTAAACTTATGTAATATAGAAGTAAACCGTTGATCATATGATGCTAAATGTATCTACTTGTTTTGGGGGGTTTGTTACAGTCTAGACTTCAAGAAGAATATAATCCACCAGAAAATCTGAAAATGGCACAATTAACTACAACCTCAGAAACAACCTTGAGATCTTACCAAGTTGCTGGAAAGGGAGACTTTTTTATTACTAACAGAACTATGACAAAGGGAGCTGATCTTAGGTATTAAGAAACATTTTAATAGAATATCCAAACTGAAATTTTCATAATGATTTCTGAACATGTATTTCAAAAGGCATAAACTCACCAACTCTTTTTATTTTCCTACTACATATTTCAGATTTCTCCCAAGCATGGCTGCAAATCTGAACTTTCTATAACTGCATATAGACACAACTCAACTAGTTTCTTTATTTCAGAGAACAGTAAAACTATAAACACAGAAGATTGCCGATTGCAGTACACAGTGCTAAGTCTCTGTGTGCTCCAAAGTATAGATTCTAAATGTTTTCTTCCTGACTGCGTTAATGGATATTTGACTGTCCTCTTTACAGCCCTGAGAATGCTCATTGTTGACATAAGACAAGACATGCAAATCATTAAGGCTGTACAAAAGTCATTGTTTCAGGAATGAAATATTCTAGAAAACCCTGGAACGCTTTTTTCTTCCTCCAGATCAGTATCAGGACTATTGTCATTCTGAAATGATACAGTGGTTTCCAGGAGTAAATTCTCTGTTCAATTTGCAGATCCTACTAATATTTATACTTTAGCACGATATTTTGGTTTAATAGTTCTTCCATATTATGTTAAAAATAGTAGAATAGAATAGAGCTGGAAGGGACCTTGGAAGTCTTCTAGCCCAGCCCTCTGGTCAAGCAGGCGAACCTATACCATTTCAGATAAGTGACTGTTTAATCTCTTCTTAAAAACTCTAGTGATGGAGCGCCCACAATTTCTGGAGGCAAGCTGTTCCACTGGTTAATTGTCCTTACTGTTAGGAAGTTTCTCCTTAATTCCAGGTTGCTTCTCTCTTTGATTAGTTTCCAACCATTATTTCTTCTCCTCCCCTTCCTTCCTGTTTCTCCTACTTCCTTTGTTCTTCCTCTCCTTCTCTTTCCTTATTTATTTATTTATTTATTTAATTTTTATACCGCCCTTCTCCTGAAGGACTCAGGGCGGTGAACAGTCAAACAGTCATATAAAATGTGAAATAAAGCAATTTAAAATAATTAAACCAATTTGGATAAAAAACTCATCAGTTAAGAATCTTCAGCATAAAATTTAGAACAATTAGAAGAAATTTATGCTAGCCCGGCTTGATGAAACAGAATTCCCCTTCTCTTCCCCCACTCCTCTCTTCTTCCCCCCTTCTAGCCTTCTCTTCTAGTCCTCTTTCCTCTCCCTTTTCTTCCTCTCCTTTTCCCTTTCTTCTTTCTCCTCTTCTCTCTTCTCCCTTCCTCTCTCTCTACTCCTTCCCCTCGCTCCTGTTGTTTCCCTTTTCAGTTCAATCTAAAGTGGTATTCGAGCAGCCCCGATTTCCTAATTATCTTTATTCTCATTTCAATTTCTTATTCAATTATTATTTATTTTTATTTCATCATTTGCGTACATTTTTATAATATCTCACTTTTTTCTCTTTTATCCCACCCCCCCTTTCTCCTTTTACTTGACATCATCTGGGTATCTATTTTCTAATTCTTTTCTCCCATCTATTCTCTATCTATTTTATCTCTACGTCCTTATTCATTTTCTTTTCTAACCAATCATAAAATTTATCCCATGTCTTGAAATACATCAACTCCTCTTTATCTTTATCTTTTAGTCTCAATGTTGACCCCTCCCCTCTTCTTTGTGGAGTCCCTCAAATACTGGAATACTGCTATCATGTCACCCCTAATTTTTCTTTTTCTTTAGACTAGCCAGACACAAAATCTGCAACCATTCTTCATATGGTTTAGTGTCCAGGCCAGGGGTCCTCAAACTACAGCCCGCGAGCCAGGTATGGCCCACCAAAATCATTAATCCAGCCCACGTAGGACCATGAGGCTGCCCTGGCCACATCGCCCCACCCACCCTCTGACCCCCACCCTTCAGCCAAGCGCAAGACTTACCTTTGTGAGCCCATGGGCTGGAACTGGAAGGTAAAGCCAACATTTTTGGCCGACAGAGTGCTTCTGGAGGCCAGGGAGGCCAAAAATGGGGCACACAGAGGCCCTGGGGGGCCAAAATGGGCCCGTTTTCGGCCAGCAGAGTTCTACAGGAGGCGGGGGAGTGGCAGAGTGCTTCTGGGGGCCGGGGGGGGCAAAAACAGGGCATGTGGATGGGGGACTGGATTGGAGGAGGAGGGCCGCCCGCTCACCCACCCGCTGGCTGAACTAGTCTTCACATTTCAAGCAAAAGAGATGTATTAATTTTGGGGAGACTGTGGGATTGCCCCACCTCCCCGCCAGCCAGCTGGTCTTCAGCACGTCATTCATCGGCCTCTGGACATCAGATTCCCACCACCCAGCACCAGTTCAAGGGTTCCTTCTACCCCCAGGGGACAGAGAGAGAGAGAAAGAAAGAGAGAGAGAGAGATAGACAAAGAGAGGGAGAGGAAGGGAGGTAGGGAGAGAAAGAGAGAGAGAGACTTGTTGATTGTAAGCTCCTTGAGGCTGAGACGAATTACTGCAAAACTGAGTTTCCTGAAGTGGACCACTAGACTCCTAAACAACTTAAAAATGATCTAGTAAAAAGTAAAGTCAACCAACAGAGCAACGTGCAAACAAAAGCAAATAAAACACCCCCAGGAGCAAAATAAATTAAAGTTTAATTTGTGTGTATTGTTTAAATACACTGCTAAATTGGCCACACCCACCCAGTCACATGACCATCTAGCCATGCCCACTCAGCTGGTCTGGCCACCCCCAATAGTCTGAGGGACCATGAATTGGCCCCCTGTTTTAAAAGTTTGAGGACCCCTGGTCCAGGCCTTTGATCACCTTAGTTGCTCTTCTCTGAACTTTTTCCAAAGTCTCAACATATTTTTTGTAGTATGGTGACCAAAAATTGGTTGGAGTATTCCAGGTGTGGTCTTACTAGGGTTTTGTAAAGCGGCACTAATACTTCACACGATCTTGATTCCATGTCTCTGTTTATACAACCCAGGATTGTATTAGCTTTTTTGGCTGCTGCTGCAGATTGCTGACTCAAATTCAAATGTCATCCACTAAGACTCCAAGGTCCCTCTCACAGTTACTGCTTTTGAGCCAGGTCTTGCCTAATCTGTACTTATACCTTTGATTTTTTTCTGCCTAAATGTAAAGCTTCGCTTTTCTCCACATTAAAATTCATTTTGTTGGTTAGGGCTAAGGTGACCAGACGTCCCGCTTTTGGCAGGACAGTCCTGCTTTTGAACAATTTGTCCCGCGTCCCGCGGCATTTTTAAAAAGTCCCGATTTTTGGAAAGAATGCAGGGCGCAGTGGTGGGTTGCTTCCGGCTGCCTTCTGAGTCCCAGCTGATGGCTAGAGGGAAAAAAACTGTTTAAACTCTTGCCGCGGGGCTGATCAGTGTTAAAAGAAAACAAATGAGTAGATCGATGCCTGCTAAAATAGAAAAAAACAGCCCCTTAAAGCTTCCGGATAGGTTAATTAGCACAAGTTGATTAGATCGGCTTCCCGACTCTCAGCTGATTTGCTCTCAGCTGATTTGCTCAGGGCTCTGTAGTTGCTAGCTGCAGAGTGCTGGAGATTTTTTTCCCCCTAACTATGCTTTAAAAGCGAAACTGAAAGTAAGCAGGGTCTTTGCTGCAACGTGGCAAAATGAGGCAGAGAGAGATTTCTTTTTCTTTTTCCTCACCAAAAAAGGTAGGTGCAAAACTGCAAACAATGGGAAATTTAGGGCAAAAGAGGAGAGTTCAAGATTTTAAAACACAAAAGAAAAAAAAGCTCTATTTAACTAGGGAATTGTAATAATTGAGATACTATTAATTGTATATTGTGTTGAAAGCAGAAATGGTTAAGTTGTGGTTTGGAGGAATATATGGGGGAAATTATTTGGTTTATTATTATTGGTAAATATAATTAATTGATTTGTAAGAAATTGGATTGCATGGAAATAATTGGAATATTCATGTTCATATTGATTAATATACAAAAAAGATAGTTATATAACTAACTGATTTATATTAAAATGTTGAATTTGTATTAAACAACTGTATTACATAATTACATAATTAACCAATGTGAGGATGGATATAAAAATAGATGACAATGGGAAGGGGTATAATATAGAATAGAAGGGAAAAATTGAATTTGATTAAGATTTGATTAAGAGATGAGGATGAAGGGTAATATTGGTTTTTTAAAAAATAGATGAGGAATAAATATGGCAAAAAGGAAATATAGAAATTGTAAATTTAATTGAAATGACTAAACACTGTTTAAATTTGTGAACCAGCCAAATATTCTGTTCAAAGAAAATACATTGTATGTTTGTATGTGTGTTTCTAATTATTGCTATTTATTCATATTTGTTCTCTTTTATTCTTTAAAGTTTAACAATTCATTCTTTATCTTAATATCTTTATATTTGTTTGGGGTTGGCTTTCTTCCCTTTCATCTTTTTTTTTTGTACAGCAATCTTTCTCCTCAAACCTACCACCTCTCTCTTTTCTTTCCTTCTTACTTTCTCTTCCCCCCCTCTTCTTCTCCTCCCTACTTCCTCTTCCTTTCTCCTTCTCCTCCTCTCTTCCTCCCTCTCTTACCCTCACTCCTACTCTAATTTCCCTTCCTTTCCTTCCTCCCTTCTCTTCCTTCCCTCTCTCTCCTTCCTTCTTCCATCTCTCTTCTCCTTCCTTCATCCCTCTCTATTACTGTATCCTTTTATGCATATGGACTACTCAGAGGGCTGAAAAAGTTATTTTTGACTGGTCCTTGCACTTTTGACCAGTCCTCAAACTTACGACTGTCCTCACATTTTACGTTTTTTGCCCTATCTTATCACCATGGTGAAGAGAAGCAGTTGTGAAATGAGTGACATGGTTGTTAAGAATGCTGCACGGGCATAAATGTGAGGATGGTCATAAGTGTGAGGACCAGTCAAAAGTGCGAGGACCTGTCAGAAATGACTTTTTTCTATACACATAGCCATGGCCACCTGGTCACATGACCAGCTAGCCACGCCCACCCAGTCACATGACTTCCAAGCCACGCCCACAAAATGGTGGATGTCCCACTTTACCAATGTTAAAATCTGGTCACCTTAGTTAGGGCCCAACTTGAAAGTTTGTCAAGATCTTTTTGGATCCTGAGTTGTCTTCTGGGGTGTTGGCTATTCCTACCAGTTTAGCATCATCTGCAAATTTAATGAGTTCCCCTTCTATTCCTTCATCTAAGCAATTTATAAAGATATTGAAGAGTACTGGGCCTAAGATGGAGCCTTGTGGTACCCCACTGCTTACTTCTCTCTATGTGCATGTAGTACCATTAAGGACTACTTGTTGAGTATGGTTTGTCAGCCAGCTACAAATCCATCTGGTGGTGATATTGTCTAGCTTACCAAGAAGTTGATTGTGGTCTACTTTGTCAAATGCCTTACTGAAATCTAGGTATACTATGTCCACAGCATTTCACTAGTCTACTAATTTAGTGATTACTTCTTAATTTTTATAATTTTATATTAATTTTTAGTAATTTTATAGGGTTTAATATAGTAAAAATAATATCTTCTTTTGTGCTTTTTTTTTGTCCTAGGCATCAGCATGATGATAATGGTGATATTAAGCCTTTTCTTGGCATATTTGATGGCCTTTTCTAATGCTCATAAACACAATATTTTATCAGTGGGGAAGAATAAATCTTAATTTTGAGGATGAGAGACCTTCAAATGCCAATTGAGCATTTTCTACTTTTTCAGTTTATAATAATTCATTGATAGTCAATTTTGCTATATGGATAATACTGTAATTACCAAAATGCTATATAATTACTTACATGCATACTTAATTTGTAATACTATTTAAATGTCAAAATGTTTCCTTAGATAAGATTGTACTCAAAATATACTATTTTTGAATTTTAAATTTTACAATTTTATTCTGGAAAATAATATTATCTTTGCCAAATATATCTCTTAAATAAATATCTTTGTGAACTTTTTTTTTTAAATTGTTTTCTTTCCTTTGGTCAGTTGACAACTGGTGGCTAGTTAGATAAATCCCTGCAGTTTTCTTGGCAAGATTCCAGGAGCGACTTGCTCTTACATTCTTGTTAGGGCTGAGAGAGAGTGGGACTAGCCCAAGGCTATCCAGTTGGCTTTATACCTATGGCAGGAATAGAACTCATGGCCTCAAGACCTCTAACTCAGCATCTTTAACAATTAATAAAAACCCAATAGCTTTATTCTTAAATTATTACTGAAAAAAAAATACTTTCCCCCCAAATTTTTATATCTGTCAATTACTTGTATTGACTTTGCATTTTAAAATTAAGTGTGTGTTTGTGAGAGTATTGCCATCTTTGTTTATAGTTTTAAATACTAGTATTTCAAATTGTTTTTTATTCAGCAATGTTAAGAATGGGTTGGATCCAAATATTTTCATGAATTAGTTTTTTTTTTAATCATAGAAAAAGTTTTTTATGAATAAAAGGAATCCCGCCATAAGCAGAACCCTTCTGTTATGACCAGAATAAAATCTTTGTATTCAATCAGTCTAATATATTTGCATCTTAATTGTAGAAATAGACTCAGAATGATATAAAATGTATATTTTAATTGGAGATTAGGTTATTAGCACATAGAATAGAATGGTATTTACAAAAAAAATGAGCATACTGTAAATATATGTACGGTATGTATGTTTCTCAGATGTTCCTTCTCCATGCAATTCTGCTGACCTCTAAAAAGCCCTTCCTCAATATTAGAGGTTCTACTTTAATTTTTAAAAATGTACTAAAGAACAAACCACAGCACATACAATAATCTTTGGACATTTATGTTTATATATGTGTCAATCATAACAGCAGAAATGTATAGCTCTAAGAAGTACTGTTCAAATGTTTGTAAATATTCCATTGTCATTAACTGAATCTTACTATGTCTCCAGTTTGTATGCAGAAACTTAAGAGCAATTGATAGATTCTTTGAAAATGAAATTAAATTTCTTGAGTGTTAACAGATCCAAGTTCTAAGAAACTAATTCAGTGATCAAAATAACCAAAGAAACAAGTCTTTTTAATTTTGCTGTGGCAATTAGTATATATTAAACTCAAATCTCTGTTCTTTCTTCTTTCTTCAGTCAGACCTATTACTTGTTCTTCTCTTCAGTCATCTGTGGCCATCATTTCAAAATTAGATGTTAAAATGATTTGTAGCCTACTAGAGCTTTCCACCATCATAGTGGAAACAATTGATCAATATAAACAGATTTAGTTCTACTGTTTACTTAGCTACCTGGGAGAAAATCCAATGGCATAAGTGGAGCTTAATTCTTAGTAGATTTATAAGGATTATCAGTCTGACTCTTAGATGAAATGAATGGAATATTATCCTCCCACCTTACATTTTGGGTAGATTTTATATCAGATAGCACCATGGAAAAAATAACTCTCCAAGTTACTTTCTTTTTCTTCTTAAATTAAATCTTGCCCAAGGGTGGGATTAGTAGTTATTAATGTTTTTATTTCAGTCTTAAAAGTGATTAATGTTCAAAAGATAAATTTGAAGTTTCTTCTTACAACTTTTTTCTTTATGTAATATCGCCTTCATTTTTCATATGCTGCTCATCAATAATCTTTCTCTCATACCTTAGGGAACAGCTTCAGTTCTTTTTGCAATATACTTTATACTGTTCTTTTTATTTTAAGATGCTTTAATTTCCATGTTCTACTACAGGATAAAAGTAAAATCCATCAGCAAGTTTTTGAAGTTATGAATGATAGAATATATTTCTGGTAGACTGTGTCCAATAAAGCTTTTAATAAACAATTTCTACTACATCCTCTGGTAACTACATTTATTGTTAAGAATTTCTTATAATAAATACGAAATCTACAGGGCTATTAAATCTGTTTCTGCCAAACAAAAAATTGTGTTGGTTTCCTCCACTAATTAATTTTAGTTGGTTTCATGTTTCTTTTTGAGTCCAACCTCTCTCCATAAATCAATTTCAATACTTTCTCAATTGTTTTTTTTTCCTGGTTTTATTTATTAATTAAATTTTTACATTGCCCAACTCCAACAATGGGTGTACTTCTGCAATCTCCACTTTCCTATCTCCCCCATCTCTGCCCTTTTGGTCCACAACACTCTGTCAGTTTTAATAGGATTAAATTGGAGACAATTCTTCTCCATTTATACTTGCACAGCGTCCAGGCATATTCAACAACAACATTGAGTATAATCATAAAATGTAAATGATTACCATTATATTTATCTTTGAAAATAATCATTATCATCCTCAAATCCAGTTGTCCCAAATTTACTTTTTCTGTTTAAAGTTAATGTCAAACCCTGTATGTTGAATAGGAACAGAAACCTGGCAGTTTCACTTGGCAGGTCCAAGGTTGAAAGATACTGTATAATTGGGTATCATCAGTGTACTGATGATACTGAACCGTAAAATAGTGGATGGCCTTGCGCAACATGTAGATGTTAAAGAGGAGGGGAAAGACAATAAAATCCTGTGGCACCCCACAAAAAAGCCTATTGAGCAACCTCTCTCCCCTAGAGTGAAACCACTCTGGAGAAAGAAAGAAAAACATTGTAAAATGGTGCCTCCTATCTCCAGCCCTTGGAGCAGGCAAAGGATTCCATGATCAACCGTGTTGAAAGCCACTGAGCAATCAAGGTGCACAAGGACCTCCATCCTGGTTTTGCCATAGGTTATCTACAATACTCAATCCTGGTCTGAAACCTGACTGAAATGGGTTTAGATAATCCACTTCCTCCAGTGTTCTCATCAACTGCACACCAACCATCTTCTGAACAACCTTCTCCAGAAAGGTTGGAGTTGGAGACTGGACATTATTTATTGAAAATAGGTCCAAGAATAGAGTCTTGAGAAAGGGTACACCATCTCCATTTTTCAAGGCAAGAAGTGTTTTGTAAAGAGATTTGACACCACAACATGGACCAAACCACAGCTGACTTTCCTGGCAGCTTTCATGACCCAGAAGATGTTCAATCTAGTAAACAGGTAGCTGGCTGTGCTGACATTACAGAGAATCCAATGTACTTCCTCAGGAATCACCCGCTCAATCTTATCGCATCACAACCCGATTGTGCCTCATGCACCTCAGCCTGACTTGCCTGTTCAGAGTCCAAGTTGGAATAGATTTGAATGATTTCATCCACTAGATAGGCTAAATAGTCTTCATGGTGGCTCAGTAGATGTTCCAGGGAGTCCTCCTTATCCAATAGGGAACAGAACTAGATGGCTATCAATGGACACAATAATAGCAGAAACACACTGAAGTTCCTTAGTCCTTATCACTACAAGGTAATCCCTAATGTGGGCTCTAATCTGTCTGGTCAGACTTGCTTCAAATTTCCTCCAATGGTACTCAGTGTTTCTTCTGGTGTTTCATTTCCAGGAGCTTCTCAACAAACCAAGAAGCACCCTCAATCGGCACCTAGGGAATGGCCATATAGACTAAATGTGTCTCAAAGCCTCAGATAAACTACCCACCAAATCCTCAGGGAAAACCTCAAGATCTCTCTGTAACCATACCAGCATTTCTTAGGACAATGGAGAAAATCGGGCAGCATCCTGATTTTATGAAAATTTTATGAAAAATTTCCATATTAGCTCTCTAATTTCCAGGAACGCTCTTTGGCCCAACCTCAGCTTGTTCCTATAATTATATTTGAGTTGGTTTTATGAACCCTATTGTGGTGGTTCATTCTCGCCTGCATCAAAGGTTCATCAGAAATAAACAACATTAGGAATAATGTACTGTGGAAAACTGCAGGATACGATTGCCTTAGGCCTTCCCCAAGTTAGAAGGTAAAAAAGAAATGTCCACCTTGCATATGCTTTTAGTTGCTCTGTTTACACCTTTTGCCAGGTAAGTCTGTTTTGGCCTGGAAAGCAGAAGAAACAGATCTTTCAGATTATACCTACATGTAATTTTGCAGTAGTGGAGGTTTCTATGACTCTTTAAGGAGTGGGATAAGGAAGGATGCAACGGTCATGCTTTGTGACTTTAAAGTCTTCAGCTGATTGATCGCCTTGATAAAGTTTCAGCTTGTTTGTCAACCTCCAAACATTTATTATAGGAAAATAATTTAATAAATCCTTCTTTAACTAATCATAATACAGCTACCGAAAACAATAATCATAATAAAAATAATCATTTTCCCTAGACAGTCCCATTGAACCTTGAAGTTTGATACTGACCACTTTGAGGTGCCCTGTTTTAAAGCCAGGAAAGAAATTTTGGAACTTTGAGTGCATACAGGTAGTCCTTGAATTACGACCACAATTGAGCCCAACATTTCCATTGCTAAGCAAGACAGTTGCTAAATGAGTTTTCCTCCATTTTACGACCTCTCTTGCCACAGTTGTTAAATGAATCACTGCAGTTGTTAAGTTAGTAAAACGGTTGTAAAGTGAATCTGGCTTCCCCATTGGTATTACTTGTCAGAAGGTCACAAAAGGTGATTACATGACCCCGGGACACTGCAACCATCATAAATATGAACCAGTTGCCAAGCCTCCAAATTTTGATCATATGACCATGGGGATGTTATAACGGTCGTAAGTGTGAAAAACAATCATAAGTAACTTTTTTCAGTGCCAATTTAAACAGTCAGTAAACAAATGGTTGTAAGTCAAGGACTCCTGTACCTTTATAGTCTCTCTAAAAGATGATTACTGAAACAAAGTTTTGCTAGAGTTACATGGAACTCATACGGGACAATGATCTAGCTACTACAGAAATTACTCCAAGTGAAGATGCTTACTTAAATCATTAGTATAACATATTTCTTGAACTAAAATGTAACACTATATGGTGTTCTTTATTCAGAAAGGAAAGAAATGAGATATCTAACTCTCAAATGATATAGTAGAATGCTAAAGCTGTTATTCAACAGAGGAGTCTATATAATTTGCATCACAACTATATTTTTCTTATAACAATGTAAACAAAGGAAA